AAATTCTCCCTTCCACAGGAAGGAAAGTTTACAGTGAACCCTAAGCTAGTAAACCCTAAGGCAGTTTAAGTTGTGGTTATGTGGAGATTTGTGAAAGTGTTTGATCCTCCTGCCCAAGTGTCCCTCCCAGTTCCAGTGCTTGACCTCAGGTACATCCCCTTCACATAGAAGCCAGTGCAGAGTCCCCTGCTTTCATTCACAGGCTCCCAAGATCTCTCCCGAGATTAACCAGAGTCGTGGAGGCTCACTGTGTACCGGGCACCATTCTCTGGGGTGGGGACCCATCAGGGGCTGAGTAATGGCAATCCCTTCTCCAGCAGAGCCCATGTGGCCCCAGAGCTCTCTGGGCTGCGGAGATGTCTCGGGTGCAGGCACACGCAGTGGCTTCGGTGTTTTGAGCACTTTTAAGCACTTGAAACGTGACTAGTGTGTCTTCATCGATTCTGTTTAAATTTGAAAAACCACATATAGCAAAGGGCTATACCCTTCCTGTCACAGCTGCAGCAGTTCAAATACTGAAAAAAGTAAGTGAACATATGTATCAACTGGCAAGTTGTGCTGTAAGGACAAACATCTTCCTACACTGAATATAACTTCCTGTATTTTAATATCATCTCTATTGATATCACCTGTTTTCAGAAAGCAGAAAGTGGTGGCGGTGCTGCTGAAGGACCTGTGTGTGTGAAGCCCCAGCCGCATGCAGCCCTGAACAGGGCACCTTTAGGGCTCTGGTTTCCTTACTGTGGCAGAAGAGAGCAGACGCAGATGTTTCTAATGTCACTTCTAGTTCTGATATTTCTTTATTACTGCACCCTACTTTATCTCATATAATTAGAGGGCCCATTAGCTCTATTGCTAACGCTGAGAAGTCCGTATTCTGGTATTTCTCATCATCGGTGAGCATTCAGCACGTGTGTGCACCAGAGTGGAAGTGCCGAGAGGCCTTACTGTGGGAACCCTGATACAGCCTGTGATGTTGACTACATAGTTCTTTCATGAAGCCAGCAGCTCCTCTCTGTAGTTATTTGGTTTTGATAAAATGTTACATTATTTCATTTAATTTAAAGCCTTGCATTTAAGGCTTCTCGTAAAGACTTTCAGAGTAGGTTGACGTAATTCTAAGCCCTGACTCTGCTCACAAATACTAGTATATAGCCATGGACAAATCAGCAAACAGCTAATGTGTTAAACTTTGATTTCTCATTATCAGAATTAATAATAATAGCCCAATAGCATTGTTGTGAGCATTGACTGAATGGAATAACAAATACAGAGAGTTTAGCACAATTCCTGGCACAGATACACAAATTTACAGTGTATGTTATTCTTCAGACTGTTGTCTTTAAGAATCCTCAAGGACAGGGGATGTAGCTCAGTAGTGCCACCGCCTGCCTCACAAGCACAAGGTCCCGAGTTCGATCCCCAGTACCGAAAAAAAAAAAAAGAATCCTCAAGATTAGTTTATACTATTTTTTGCCACAGAGATTTTTATAGAACAAACATCATGTGCCCAACATGCTAACTAGCGAAACAAGTCTGAGTGGAGTACATTTAACATGTTAAAAACATAGAAATCCTCCCAACCACAAGGTGTATAAGTTTATTTCTTTGGTATGAAGGGTGTAAAGAATGCAGTCATGATGCCCCTGCTCATACACAAAGGTAACCATTTAGCAGTCACAGGAATCATAAAAAATGTTTTCGAAGTTAAACATTTGACTTACACTAAAATACAAACACTGATGACTCAGTAATTAAATTTAGACGAAGATACTCATTTTGAAAGACAGCTTGACACTAAAAATTTTGTGAGGATGCTTTATTTTTAAGTGATGAGTAGAAGTGAGAAAGATTTGTCAACTGTTCTCATATTCTAAGATAATCTAGAAAAAGTAAAATTTTGAAGAAAACAGTTGCCAGCAGCGGGAAAGCCCTGTTGCCTACAGAGCAGCTTGGAGATCTAGTGGTGAGACCAGGGTGTGTCACAAAGTACTAGGGGCCGTAGGAGAGCAAGGACTTCCGGTTCACAGCGGAAGAAGTGTTTAGCCCTATCTTTCCTGTCTTCCTTTCTTCATGACTTTGGACCAGGTTGGCCACTTTTCCTTCTTGGAACTCTCCTCATGTGTTTTGAGGAAATATGATTTTGGTCCCCTTCCTAATTTCAGCTCAGTGTTCTTTCTTACCTTTTGGATATTTTAAGAGAATTAAATCTTTCATCTTCTTCCTTTTCATTCTTTGAAGTTTATTCCATGGGTATGACTTTATCACTAATGATGCTTTACATTAGCCAATCTGAATCCTATTCCTTTTATCCTACCAATAAGTGTGTATCGCTCTGTGGCAGTAGAGTTGGCAACAAGGACTAAAACAGCAAGCCCAGATAGTGTGCAGTTCTAGGAAAGTGAGCAGAGGAGCCACTGTGCCCACCCCCTTTACGAGGGCATCCAGGGGCTACACAGGAGCCCCACAGAGATAGCAAGGAGGCCAGTGTAGGTGGGCGCAGCTCTATGGGCAAATAAATACACTGAGTAGGTAAGTAAGGAAATGTATTGAGGGTATAGAGAGCCGGTTTCCTGCTTTTGGAGATTTACAGACCTAGAAAGGAAGAAGGCTAAAAACAACTCCAGAGTATCAGATTTGACTCAGAGATGCTGATTTTATACCGTGCATATCTGCAGATACAAAGTTCATCCTAGATCTGTATGAGCGTGCATATGTGTGTGTGTGTGTCCACATACACAAGTGTAGACTGCCAAGCTCACTGCTTACTGTGGCTGTCCCAGCACCAGGTCTCCGTGCTTACATGCTGTCCTCCACTAGAGGAGTCAAGGGCCTCCGGAGAAGGAGCTGCCACCAGGGCTGGCCAGAAAAAGGATGAGTGAACGTAGGACATTTTACACCAGAAAAGGAGGAGAAAAATGCTCCGGAAATGATGAGGTTGTGTCGGAAAGACCTAGGGCTAGCGTGAAGGTCTTCCCACTCACCAGGCCTGGGATAATTTAAACGCTGGAATAAATGATGCTAATAGATTACAACCCATTGAGTGAAAAATAGAAATCGAAGAGCAAGTGAGAAAATAAAGAGGCCATGGCTGGTGGGTGGGTAAAGAATTGGTGAGCCTGGGCCGGGGATGTAGCTCAGTGGTTCCGCCACCTGCCTCACAAGCACGAGGTCCTGAGTTTGATCCCCGGTACCAAAAAAAAAGAAAAAGTATTGGTGAGGCTGTGCAATAAACAATTTCAGAATAGTTGAGGTAATAAAAGTAATCAGTGACAAAGAGGGAAAGAGTGGCTTTCTGTGTAGAAACCCGGCGGGCACCACACAGCCCAGTGGCAGAGGCTGACGTCGGTGGGGTGCATCCGCCCGCCGCACTCGGGGTAACACCTTGAGGAGAGCACCTGTCATTTCTGGTCTTTTCCCGCTGTGAAAATAGGACCTGCACCAAGGCAGGAGGGAACATCCAATACAAAGGCTTATTTCCTTCGAAACCGTTGAAGACACAATAAAAAGAGACATAGGCATGAACACTAAGAATTGTTCCTGTTAGAGAGCACGAAGAGACGTGAGGATGAACTGCAACGTATTTCCATGATGTTCTGACACCAAAAAGAAACCTTGTGGGGGGTGGCGAAACTTAAATCAGCTCTGTGGCCTGGATGGCAGCACTGGGCCTATGGGTTTGCCAATCTGAAATGCTGCATGGCATTGTGGAGACTTCGCCTGCTTGGGGAGCTGTGTTGCACCAATCTGTGAAAAGGCACCGTGTCTGAGGCATGCACACTGGTTCTGGTTTACACTAGGTCAGTGGTGGAGAGGCCGGGGCGGGAAGAAGAGGCGATGGGGCGAATGTGCACTATTACCGGCAGGGGAGGGTGGTCCGGGCATGGGGAATGTCTTTGCACTCTTCATGAGTTTTTTCTGTAGGCTTGGAAATTATTCTTTTAAACGCAAACACACACGTAAGGAGGACTGGGTTTACAGGGGAATTGTGTTAGGAAGTGACCCCTGGACTGAGATCTAAAGGTTATCAGAGGTGACCACATAAGGGTCTGCAAGCTCCCCGAGAGATGGGCACTCAAGAAACTCGTTGGATGTGCTTGTAAGCAGCACATTCCAGGAGCTGCAGAAGCGGGGCTGGGGTTGCAGCACAGTAGAGGAGCCCTTGCTCAGCATGTGTGAGGCCAGGGCCGATCCCTGGCGCCGCCCCAAAGAAATTATAAAACTGGTTGAGAAATTGCACTGACTACAGCATCCAAAATGATAACAATTTAAAAAGCCGTTCTGATCTGGGCGTGCCAGAACATTAATGTTAAGCATCTGCTGAACTATTTCACTAAGTGCGTAAGGTTTCCCTGCTTTAATCAGGGATTCTGCTAGGAATCACCACCAGTTTTTGGGATTCTGAGTGTGTGCAGAAGCTCATGGCATCAGCTGTCACCTAACCCTGCTCTATGGGTCTCTCACACATGTGTGTGGATCCCGTGATGCAGTCCGGGTCTCAGCAAAAACCCAACCACATCCATTTCCATCTTTTTCAGTTCTGCTTCCCTTTATCCATACAGCCAAGTTGTGTGAACTTAATTGATATATTTTTAAAATAGTTTCTAAGAAAAAATACACCAAAAAATTCATTGAACTCTTAGGTATCAAAAGAGTGAAATATTCTGTAAAAATGTCTCATTTGTAAGAGGCAAAATCAGTCATTTCCGCGCCCTAAGCAAATTGTACTTCTGAGGAAGAAATGGCATGCTTTTGCCTAGACTGCTATTCTCCCCAAATGCTTATTGTATGTGCCACAAAACTGGGCACAGTAGAATCTTTCTAGAGCCCAAGAACGTATATTAAGCATATAGAGCTATAAAATTTATAAATTAATGTGAAATATAGAAGTCTTGAAAAACACTGAAACATTACGTTTTTCAGGAATTTAAGATGTTTTGAAGTACTCACTTAATGAAGAGTCACAGTGTTGGTTTCATTTTGTTTCACTAAATTGCTAGGCACTTGGAGGCGTCCCAGGAAGCCAGCCATTACTCCCCAGCGGCATGGACCCCACGCGACAGCAAGGTGACTGGAGGAGCCGTGAGATTGGGGAGGGACACCTGTGTTTCTTCAGGAAAATTTCATTTGTAAAATCTTCCATAATTTTACCAACTGTGATTTTGACAGTAACAGGGCTAAGTCGTTTTGGCCAGCTCTTACTTATGCATAATAGTTCAGATGGTTGGTGATAATAAAAAAACCAAAATACATAAATGTCTAAAATTCCCCATCTTAACCAATAACTGCTAAAACTTTATAGAAGACTTCTAACAAGTAGGAACCTACCTGATTATATCGCGTAGGACTTCCTCTGCCTCTCTCAGTAGAGGGTAAGGTGAGGTGATGGAAGGAACCAGGGTACTGATGCTGCCTTACCTCACACCCACCTCCCACGGAGACCAGTCAGCTGATGGACAAGGCGCTGTCCTGGCTCCCAGGGAGAGAGCAGGGACACCACGCCAGAGGCGGGGGTTCATCCAGACATCAGAGGAGAGCAGCGGGTGGTGGCTGGAGGTGGGGAGGGGCCACGGAAGCCACGGTCAGAGGCGTCCTCACCAGGTCACTTGGTACCTGAGGTCACACCTGCGAGGGTGGAGGCCCACTCCAGCTTAGCCTCGAGGTGGGACTTGCTGACATCCTCATCCTCTTTCAGGACATCCGAACATGGCTGGGCCAATGCAGAGAATGACACCCCCGAGAGGAATGGTGCCCTTGGGGCCACAGGTAAGCAATCAGCGCGATGCCCGGGCTGGCATCCACCTGTGTTCCACGGAACCACATGGGTTGTTGGTGCATTGTTAGTGCATGTGATGAGGTCATCAGCTACACTGGTCCTGAGTTGTAGCCCAGCGTAGGGCACATGTTGAGCAAGTGTTAGGCCCTGGGTACGGTCCCCAGCGCACACGCACACTCATGCACGCACACATACACACACACACAAGTCCTGATATACATCCTTGTTAGGACCCTGAAGATAGAATATTTGTGACATTTCCAAATTACTGTAACAACAAACTGTATTTTAACAAGTTGCTATCATATATGCTTTAGTTTATTTGGGAAAACATAATGTATAGAAATATATTATAATAATTATTATAAAAAGATAACTTACACTGTTAGCTATGTTAAGGAAGTGGTTAAGTTAAAACTTAGTTAATTGAAAATATTAAGTAGAATGAACATAAAATATATTTCTATAAATCCTTTAAAGAATGCTATTGAAAATTTATTATATACAACCATATTTCTTTATAAAATAGGAAAACAGTACAGAACTATTTAGAACTAAAGATTAAAACGTGTCTTACTGAACAAGGATAACACTACTGCTACACTATCAGATGTAATCCAACTTTTACTGTCAGAATTTCCCAAAAGAATACACTGGGGCTAAATGTGTCCTAACTCTTGGTAATATTTTAAGCCTGCTATTCCAGGATATCATTTATTTAGCTAAAACATCATTTTGTCTCAGAAAAATTTCTTAAGGTAGGAATTAATTTTATTATGTTTAACTTTAAAGAAGACTAATCCAAAATCCAGAATTTGAAATTTTTACCTCCTGCCTGGGTCAGAAGTTAGCATGTCCTAAAGCTGGCATTAATAAGCATTGTGAGTGATAGTTTTGGTAAATTGTTTCATGTTCCTACTTTTAAAGAATCAAATTGAGTTTTTATTGTATCCCCAATGGAGTTAAAGAATTAAGAACTCACCACTCAAATGATATGATGTAGACCTAGGAGTTTTTAACCAACATACAGTAATGTGACTAAATAGAAACATGAGGTTCACGTGACCTAGTCTCTCAGAGACCCTGTGTCACATGAAAAGCTTCCTACATAAACACACACAACTGCCCCGAGCTGCTCTCCCCTATGTATTTCCTTAAGTCTTATAAAACTCTCATTTAAATATTTAAAAATTTTCCCTATTTCTATTCATATTAGGAAGGATGGTTTGTCTTAACCAGCTGTCATTAGGCTATCAATAGCAGTTAGGATTTATAAGATCTATAGGATATTTCATTGACTAAATGGACTTTTTAGTAAACTCTTCCACCACTAACATGGCTGTGCAGAATTTAAAGGATTTCTTCCCAAAAGATTGTCTTAAGATACATTTAAAATACACATAAGAACTTTATGCCTATAATTTAATTAGCATTCTTCTTTCAGCTCACTTGTTTTTTTAGCTCTTTAAGCTTTTGTTATTCCCAAAATATTACTAGTATTAGTGCTTCATACTTTAAAAATTAGGTCTTGTTTTATTAGTCATTTTTGCAGTGTTTGAAGAGGTAACCAATGCTTGTGTAAACTATGTGAACATTTAAATCTCATTTGAAAATGGAGAAGTAAAAAGCATAGTAATATTTATGCTTTATATCTAAAGATCTATGTTATAAGTAAATTGAACAGATAATAAAAATCTATTTCTATTGAGTAATCTCTAACTGATGAGTTTAATAACTAAGTTTATTGTATGTGAATATTGTCTTTACATTTTCAAGCTCAAAAGAAATAGTTTATTTCTTCCACTTAGATTGGCAGTATCCTTGCTATCTATTTCAGTATAATATGCAAAAAATAAAGTGTGAATTGGTATGAATTCATCTCAGAGACCAGAAATATCATTAATAAATTTTTAAGCTCACAGTATGCAAAGTAACAGGTGCTAGAGAAAATTGTGTATCATAGAATACATAATACTTCAGTGAAAACAGGAATCACATTCATATGAATGGTACCACAGCAAACAAGAAAGGTAAAACCCTTTGGAGTGGGAGGAATCTTATGACATCCATACTTCCTAACACTGCCACGGAAAATTCATGCGCGGTGAACTGTGAAGTCTGTGAGAAAGGTTAGCTGTGCGTAGCTCAACTCCTACAGCAGACGTTGGGCCATCCATAGTCCTCCGCAGGACAGTCACTGTGCCTGCCCAGCTCTACTGCAGAAAGCCCCTCAGGTGCTGTCTCCAGCTTTAGCGCAAACACAGCATACACCTCTTTTTTCATAGGTGCTGCTTCTGTAAGTTTTGTTTTGGGGTTTTTTTGGCTTAAAATCAGTGTGGTGAAGGGAAACAGTAGTTAATTAATGGAACAACTGAACCCCTAAACAAAGAAATATAAGTGACTCTTGAATCATGCTGATTCAGGCAGAGGGCACATGTAGAACACAGTAAATGTGTGATGAGCACTTATCGCATAAATGAAGAAATCAGTCTGCCCCAAATCCGGCAAATACTTCCCATCCCTTCATCTGTTTGGAACTAAGTATAGTAAGAGTACGTGACTTTAAATTGATATCAATATCCTCTCAATTGAAAAGCAAAATAATATGTGTAATCAAGAAAAAGATCTAATAACATATTTGAAGTCATTTTTTTCTACTTGCTTTTGTAATAAGATACAAATTAAGCTAGCTTGAGTTTGTAAGCTCAGCAAGATGATTTACAGAAAAATTCACTAAAAGTACCTATTTCTCGTTCCACCAAAAATCTGAAAGATAAAGAATGAAGATATGTCATGCACATGACCCAATTCCACATGATGAATGTGATCATATGCACTGCAAACATGGGCTAATAAAAATTAAAATTAAAAAGTTACATACAAGTAGGATTTCTAGATCAGATAGTTGCTCAGGGCAGAGAAACGGGGAAATGACAAAACATATAATAGGCTCTCTTTTTATCTGTAAACTCATTCTACATAGTGAACCAATTCTGTGTTTTCAGATCTAACATGGTGTTAGAATTCAGCTCAGTACAGGAAAAACTTCCTAGGAATTATACCGTCCAATCATGGAAAGCGTTTTATAAACCTTCTCAGCAGAGCCCGAACAGCCATTCTGTCAGGAACACTGCATTGGAAGAGAGATTAGACCAGATGGAATTGCGTAGTTGCCATCAGCTTTGAAATTCAGTGATTCTAAATTAGCTCTTCCCATTCTTTGTTGATACCACTTGGAAAGCAGTTGTTATTCTTTCTTTTCTCCCTAATTTCTTTTTGCTTTAGATGATTCACAAAATGAAAATATTTTCTAAATCTATCAAGTATGTACTGTTTTGAATAATCTCTTACTTGCTGTGACAATTCAGTTTAATCAGGCAATCATTTATTGAAGGCTCACTATGTGCCAAACATTGTACTTGAGCATTAAGTATATAAAGATGAATAAAAATCAGTGCTCTGTTGTCAGGGTACTTACTACTTAGTGGGATACACAGATACATCTAAACTATCATATAATAGGGAGAGTCTAGAGAGAAGATGTACACGCTTTCTGTGCAGTGACCAAGGAATCACTACATAAACAATCAAGTAATTCTGTTAGCATTGAGGACTCATTGGAATCCAGTAAGAAGAGGACTCATTTAAGTTGTATTAGCAATGGTAAAGAAGATGTAACAGCTACGATTTTAAACAAAAGGACCATGCTTTTCATTCATCAAGCAGTATGATAGGTGCTTTATAGTTTATCCTTCTGTCAGGAGGATAATAGCATCACTGTACAGATAAGGAAGCTAAAATTGGGCTATCACTGGGCAAATCACTGGCCCAAGATCACACAGAAAGAAAAGGCGAGTGAGGGACACAGAGCTATTGGAGTAGAGATTCAAACCAATGTATTTCTATGTCCAAAACTGTAAAGAAAATTAATGTTCTCCTTGATAAGATAAAACACAGGTCTTCTAAGATTAAATAGTAAGGGGAGAGTTTTCTTGTGAAGTATTCTAGTTTAATTTACCATTCAGAGTTCGTTTCCAGTGAATATCCTTTTTCTCAAACCCTCTGCCAATACTGCTGGCATCACTAGGTATGACCCAGAGAGCAAGGGAAGTACTCATCCTTTAACCAAGGCTCGGGTGTGGGCAGAAACCACCCCACAGCACCCACACTGGGACATTTAAATAAGACTTTCTCACAGGAAAAGCAAGTGAGAACAGCACATAACTAAGGGATTTCACTGATGAAGTGAGTCCTTCTCTCTGAGGTTAATAGACCCTTTCTCACTGATTTATTTCCTTGTCATCTTAGCACCTACTACAAAGAGAAAGGCCAAGGAAGACAAGTTAGCATGAGTATAAAAGTGTACTGTGTGTTTTTGAACTTGCAGAAACCCAGTAGGTTCGCTAGAATACCATTGGGAGTAGAATGAAGGAGAAAACTGAAGGAGATAAAGGCAGAGGAGACAGCTGGGACTGAGCTGGGAATGACCCCAGAGAGCCACACTGGAGGACCTCAGGCTCCCTGCCTGGTAGCTGGGTCAGTATAGCTGTAAGAAGGTAATTCAAGGGGACACGGAGAACAGAGGAGGAGCAGAGAGAGTGAGGTAGACCAGCAGTTTCATACCTGGCAGCGAGCAGTAGTAAGGGGAAGGAAAGCACTGTTTCAAGAGGTCTTCACAGGTAGAATCTGTAGAGTGTGGTGCCAGACTGAATGTGGGGATTGAAAGAAAAGGAAGGAACATCAAGGAACTCTCAGAGAGACCTGGGCCACACTACTGTGTGGAAGGTGGTGCGCAGAACTCCCTGAGAAAGGAGATGCGGGGGATTCCTCAGGAGGGTAACACCGATGTTGCCAGGAGGTAGCATCCAGGTGGAACCGAGTTCTGTGACCTTAAACATGTGAGTTATCTAGGGGCTTAGCAAGATTCCACGATAAAATATAAAGATCTGGATTCCTAATGTGTAAATAATTGGTGGAAAAATAGTACCAGATAAGATTGCCCCTAAATATGTATTTATGGAAAAGAATTCTGTAGCTAGAACTTGGAGGAAAGCAGCACTTAAAGAGTTAGCAAAATAAAAGCAGCCAGCAGTGAAAAGAGTATTCGAACAGTAGTGTCAGAAAGCCAAGTGTGAACGTCATGGAGCGTCAGGCATACGAACTCGGTAATGCTCAGTCCCGTTACAGGTCCTTATGGCAGCTAAACTAAGCTAACAGGATATGTATGTTAAATGCTGAAATGTTTTTCATCCTCCGATTGGACGTAATAGATGTTAAATCAAGTTCATTTGATTGTACAATTCATGCATGTGTATTTTGAGTATACATTACTTTCCATGCATTTTGGATATTTGCAAGGATTCGTGCATTTGTATGTTGGATTGTGATTTGGTGAGAAGTTTATCTGTTTTGTATTCTTCAGTTTTTTTCAGACTTCATGTAATTGTTTTGGGTCTGATGATTTCAAGCCCTTTGAATAAATTTTTTTCTCTAAAAACACAATTTTTGATTTATGAAGTGTTTTATTTGAAAAGGTTCCCTAATGTGCCGATATTGGGAGATTAATAAAGATATGTTGAATATTAATACCTTAATCACTTAGCGTGCTCTTGTGATCTTCCATATTCATGTAGTTTTATAAAGACACAAACCAAAGTAACTGTTAAAATAGAAGCAAAAGTTCAGAGTGGACCTTTCAGAGAATGAATTACACAGGCCTCAGCCAGTCGGGAGTTGTGTAGGGAAATCATTAACCTGCTCTCCTTTCTTCCCCCTCCTCTTTGGTTTTGTTTTTTTGTTTTGTGGTAGTCTGACCCTTGGTTATCATTACAGAACTATGGAGGTGCAATGAGACCCCCACTGAATGCTTTAGGTGGCCCCGGGATGCCTGGCATGAACATGTAAGCAAAGAGCTCTGTTATTCTGTACAGTGACATGTTCTCTCTTCTCAAGTCTTCTGAGATGACACCAGTTTGTCAAGCAAGTCGAGACCTCACTGTCTGTGTAGTGTAACAGTGAACAAAACGTGAGCTGCAGTGTTCAATTCATTGCCACAACCCAATCTCCTCTGCTTTCTTCCTTTTGTGCAAAGCTTTCATTTTCCGTTTTCAGGTGCCGCTCGAGATGACCTTTGTCCTATTTCTTTGTATCCACCGTGCAGTCTCGGTACGGAGTGTGTAGAGAGTGTGAAGAGATGCCGACACCGAGACCATGGCCCAGACCGTAGTGTGTCATGGGCCTCATTCTGGCGAATACAAGTGCTTCCACAGTGAAGTTTTTAACTATATAAGCTTGTCTTTCTTCACTTTTGCTTTGTTGGGCCCATTCTCAATCCAGCAGGAATTCCCTCTGGTAGCCTCTTGTGTATGAAAGAGCTTTCCATGGGCGAAGGATGTAAAGAGGCAACAGAAAAATTTTTTTTGGAAAGACCTTTCAAACCCAAATGGAAAGTCTGTTTCTATCAGCCAATGCAGTACAGTTTGTCGGGGAGTTTTTACTGATTTCTCAGTGTCCAGCTTGCCCTCAGCATCATATCCGCAGGCATTTGCTGATACCTTTCCCCAGTTCACCCGAAGACATCCCCCCTTGTGAACTAACTAGAGGAAGCTACTAGAAATAAATGTTTTGCGTGGGTATTTTCTCAAACTCATTTTACTTAAGTCCCTGTTTTAATTACCTAATGTCAAATTAGATAACTGCTGTCATTTAATGACATTAAAGATATACTGTGAAAGAAGTTCTTTTGATGTATGTAGGATTTTTTTTAAGTTTCTGAAACCACTTTCATAGAATGCAGTTTTGCCTAAAATTGAAAATAGGTTAATAGCTGGTTACCAGCCAGACTCAAAACTAATGGAAGAGGGGAGGGAGAAAGTAGGTCAGATTTTCCCTTACCATCTTTTCTACTTTTAAAATAAAAATGGATAGAGATGAAATCTGACTCTTCTTGAATTTCTCAAAGGTACAGCATTTTATTACCGGTTGCAAAAAAAAAAAGAATGAATAATGTTTTGTGCTTGTGTCAAAAGCTGACACTATTACTGACGGGATGGAGAAGTATGTAAAGTTTACCTGAGGGTCTCACTTTCCCATCCAAACTGTTTTAAGGAGTATAAATATGAATACGATCGACGCAGGATTATTATTAAGAATGTATCTAATATCATTTTGTATATTACTCTGCACTATAATGGCCATATGGCTAACTTTAGATCAACCTATTTTGCTAGTGCAGAAAATTTCTTTTCATGTGACAATTAAGAGTCACAAGTAGCTGCTTAAAATTATCCAATTCCTTTCTAATTTCCTTTTTTAAATGTACGGATGTATATAGTTAGGAGTACATTTAAGTCTCTGAGACTATGAAGGCTAAAAATAAGGCTGAAATTTTGATTGTGATTATTTTTGCTGACATTTGGCTGTGGGTTTCTTATTTAAGTATTCCAAGATATTTTTAAAGCTTTTCAATTTATATAACATTTTGCTATTATATAATTTCTGTTTCTCAATGAAATTTTAAGTCTTAAAGACTCTAATTTCTGTTATGTTACTATTTCCTTTTATTTGTAGTTTTATATCATTTTCCATTTTCTAGAAATTAAAATTCCTTTCAAAAATAAGAAAAAATGTAAGTCCTTACATCCTTATATATTTAGAGAAGTAAATATTTTCCTCTCTTGAGAAATGACCCAAGTATGACAAGCAGAGAGAATAATGATTGTATTGACAGGGCCCCCAACAAAGCAAAAATTGAATTTTAAAAGACATAAAGAGTAAAACACGCTCTGTGTCCACTGCACTCAGTAGAGTAAGCTTAATTAGAATTCACTTCACAATTTATTATCTTTAAAACAAAGTAACTCTGTGTAATGGCAAACAAGTACTTCTAACTAGTATCAGTGGCTTTCTTCATGTCTTTTGTTATTATTTGATCTTTTATATATTGGGCCTACTTAAAAATTGAAGTAAAAAATAATCAGAATGGTATTATTTTATCTATGTCTTTAAACTATTTTAAAATATTTATGTGTTGAGAGAGTCATGTTTGGATGCCTCTTTCTTTCTTATTTGCTTTGAAAATACAATGACAGTCAAAAATGCCTAACCCTGAAAAGAAAATACCCAGCCATGGCCACTGAAGTAATTACAGTTAATACTCCATGCTGACAGCAGCTGTAACCGAAGTTCAATTAAAATTAAAAGTTTATTCTCAATATTTCTTTAACTGGTATTGTATCTTCAGAAGTCAAAGCCTAATGTTAGTTTAAGTGATTTAAAGTAGAATTTATGAATTATGGCCGAATTATAAATGTTTTCAAATGCATTATAGGTTATATTTTCAAAGTAACTTGAAATGTGGTACGTTGCTAAATTAATTACGTTTTTACAAATTTCCAAAGAATCCAGGATTAAGTATTAAAACATTTCCAATTCAACTTATAATACCTTGTTATTTTATGGACACTAAGAGGACAGAAGGTTTTCAAAGGATCTTGTTTTATACCTTATCCTGTAAAGTTATAAAGTGTGTGTAGTAATTTAAATGAGTGTGAATTACAGAAGAAAAGAGGAATTTTTGATGGTCATAGTTGCTTTGAGTCCATCAAAATCATCATCTTTACTAAGAAATGCAGACTTGTTTTAGGTTTTGTGCTTTTCAGCCAAGTGCAGTGGCCAGAGCTGCCTGAGAGGCTGGGGAAGGTTGGAGACCAGCCTGGGAAACTTAATGAAACCCTGGCTCACAATTTTAAAAAGGAAAACAAATACAATAAAAAAGGACTAAGCTGTAGCTCATCATTTTCTGGGTTCAACCTCCAGTACCACAAAAATTTTTTTAATTTTTCTCTTAATTTTTTACTGACACTGGCCTGATTCTATTTCAAATTATATTTACATAAAAATTTCCATTCAAAGTAATGTGCATGTAGATTATTTTCCTGATGATACCGATGGCTACAAAAGGAGGGGATTACAGAGTTTGAGAAGTTATTCCATGAAAATCGTTCACTAACTCATTTTATTCAGCACTGTCTGCAAAAACGTTTGTATATCAGTTATTATCACATTATCTCATAATAGGAAAATGAAGTATGAAATGCATGGTATACTGAAACTAGATTAGTATTTATTAGACAATTAAAATGCATAAAAGGTATTTTGTTATATATAACATAATAAATTTAACATTTAATTTAATGTTTATTGAATAAAAATTTTAGTTATTTTGACATTTGATTTAACATGTTCATTTATTAGACAAATTTTTTTAAAAAATATTCTTATCTAATACATCTTATGTAGTACTTTTTCAGTCATAATGTTTCAAAATTATGGGCTCGTTAGTTAAATATCATCGCTGAATATAAATTTTTGCAATGATACAGATTTTTTTATGTTACTTTAACATAAATATTTCCCAGTTTCCTTATTGTGTTTTAGTTTATGTCAAATCACGTGGCCAGATCCTACTCCACAGATGTTTTCCTTGATTAGCACATACCCTGTTTTGCATCATTCCATGTCCATCAGGACATTGAATCCCAGATGTGAAGTCCCGAAACCAGGCATTAATTTCAGGCATTAATCGTGAGATCCTTGTTGCCCCCCAAGTTAGGCAGCAGCCTCCTAAGAAGTACCAGGCCCTGCCCACTGCTGCCCACCCGGTTCTCCCGCTTCCCCTGCTCTGCAAGTCACATTGGGCAGAGCTGTGCTGGGCATCCTTAGCAGCTCTGATGACAGAACCCATGCCCCTTTCTGCTGCTTACACCCCTAGAGAACCCCAAAATAAAACTAAAAGTCCTAACTATTCCAAACAAACATGGGTACTGTAATAGCTGACTTGGACAGCTTCTCCATCCAACATTTAGTACTTTAGGCCTAAGGGTTCTAGAATAAGGGATGTATTTTTTAAATCAAACTTTTCACTATCTTAGCGGTTAGAGGAAAGGAGAATTTTGAGTAGTCTTAATTGCAGAAGAACAGCTGCGTTAGTCTGCTTTTCCTAAGACAGTGTTTATTCAGGTATATTTAGTACTACAACATAAGACCTTGATTTAATTAACTGGCCTTTGATTTTGTTTTAAAACATTTATGTCCTTATAAGGTATGGAATACAAAACACTCCCTGTCCTAAAGTGAAGTAATATGTTGGCATACATTAGCATAAAAGTCCTCATGTTTTTCTAAGATTTCTCCTAGCCACTACCTTAAATTAAAATTATGAAGATGACAAAGTGATTTCTTCACTTACATTAACTAAGTTATCCATGGCACTAAAAGATAGATTGATATGTAGTTATATAAAGTATTTGATACTCCATGATACTTTCTTTGAAAAGGAGACAACTTTAGATACCCTTTATGTACATTTGTTTATCTGTAGCTGAAAAAGAGCAGTCATTATCTAGATAAATGGAGACAGATATAATTCACAGTAAGTTTATTTGAATGAGCTACAGGTGGCTCTTATATTTGTGTCACAAGTTATAGTTTATATTTATTTCATTTACTACAGAAGTACCATACTGATTTAGATACATGTATGTACTATTTGTGTGATTAATATTTTTTGTTTTAAAAAATTTTTTTAATTTTAAAATAAAACTGGCCTTACTAAAAGTAGTTTTATTTGGGAGAAAAACTTTCATGGAATGTTTAACTTTTTTATTTAAGGAATAAAAAAAGCTATGAAAATATAAAGAAAATAATTTCAGTGTTGAACTAGAATTGCATAGTGACTAAACAATATTTTATGATTTGTTGTATGTAACTTAAAAAACATTAAAAGCATGGTTTAAAATTTCTTTTAACATCTAATTTTTAGGGGTCCAGGTGGTGGCAGACCTTGGCCAAACCCAACAAATGCCAATTCAGTGAGTATATATATAGAGACATATATAATTTTCTTTTGCACTTTGTAACATTTCACAAAAACAACACAAACTTGTTGCTTTGAAAACATTGAAATCCATTATATTAACCTCTTTAACCACACAAAAAGTTGTGTATATCTCTTAGGAAAATATGCATCGTTTTTATAACTATGTGATTTTTTTCACTTCAAGAGCTGATGGACACACGCATGCACTCTCTGTGGGTCAGAGACTCTCAGAAGTACAGCTGGGGTGTGTGCTGCAGGTGGACTGCGCCTGCCTCTGCAGCGGCGTGTGTGTCACAAAGCGGTCTGATCTTCTGTGAGCTGCGCGCACTCTCCCTGAGAGGGCGCCAGTGATACGGGGATGTTTCGTGCGCTCACTCCTGGCTGCGCTCTCGGGCTACCCCAAGAGGAGCTGTGAGAGAGGCTGTGTGCTGTAGCGAAGTCGCCACCCTCCCACTCCTGCTTCCTGACGCCTGGGAGCCCTCCACACCTGTGTGGCACTGCTTTGCTGCACACATATTTTTCTCTTATTACTGCCCCGTAAATGTATGTGCGGGTTGAGAATGGAGCTATCGGTCTTTCAATTCATATGATTCTGATTTCATGGTCCTAGAGATTCTTTTCCTTCTTGGTTTTGAGCTCGAGCTCTGCAGCCTGTGAGCCCACAGGGAATGCAGTGCCCCGCGCTTGTGCGGTGTGCGCGGCGCCAGGGTGCGAGGCGAGGCGCGTTGAGGCCGGACGGCTCATTAAAGCTCCCCTGCTGGAGAGCCAGGGACTTCGCTCAGTTGTTCCACCACCTGCCTCGCAAGCAGAAGGACCCAAGTTCAATCCCCGGTAACAAAGGAAAAAACTCACCTATTGTTTAAGGTTAATGCAAACCTCAAGAAAGTGGAAAATGAGGCGTGTGCAGTCTAGGGAAAACCACCCCAAATCCCCTGCAGAAATATTCTAAAGCAGAAATCACTTTCTTCTTAATAAAGTAAGTGTTGGATTTGTTAAGAAAATTTTTTAATTTGTTGTTGCCTGCTTTTCTCATAGTCTTAACAGCTATGAGATTCTCTAATTCAGTGAAGTTATTCGAGGTGGAAACGGTGATGCTGCTTGCGCTCCGGTCTTCGGCGAGCCCTTCCATGAGTCCCTAAAATACCCTTTTGCTGGGCTGTGTTCTATTGTGAGTGACTACGCCTCCGAAACTCTTTTAACTCTCCTCTGTGCCCTATGAGAGTCTGCATTTGTGTCTGTTTCTTGCTCTTTGCTGTAACCAGCTGATCTCTGGCTTGCACAGTTCAAAATACGCTTCTTTCAGCTTCCTATAAATGCTCATAAGGTTGTGCAAAGCTATTTTTATTTTATTGGTACATTTTAGATATGCAATACGATGACATTCGTCAATGGACATCTGTACCTGTACATAATCTCTCTTGATTCTTATTTTTCCCCCTTCCCCTGCCCTCCAACACCTCCATCCCTCCCTATTTGCAAAGGCTTTGTTTCCATTTTTTTCATTTTCTCATATTAATTCCATTCCCCTCTTTCCTGTCCCCCACAAAACTATTTTTATAACACTGAAAACTCAGTAGTTTGGGTACCGGAGTCTGGAAAGAGTTTCTATTATCTGCCTCTTTGTCCCCCCTTACTGAGGCGGGTCAGCTTCCCACCTAGAAGTAAGAGCCTCCTTCGCTCCCTCCTTCCCTCTGTTGCCCTGCACAAACCCTTTGATACACTTACCCAGTGCTGAGGGCCCCCAAAGCCACTCAGGAGGGGCAGTGGCTGGGGAGTGAATGCTAAGAATGGGGCTTTGTCCCCGGAGCATCCTCGCCAAGTGCGGGAGCAGGTGCAAAGGGAGCTCTGCAGTCTGGTGATTGTCAACTTTTAGGGACCCCCCCTCCCACATCTTCAGGATTCTGCGGAGCTGAGCACCATGGTCAGAGAAGGCTATGTATCAGACCAGCAGTTCTGAGAGGCTTTAGACCCGGAGAAACACCAGGAGCGAGAAGGGGCTGTGCACACCACGCTGCAGTCAGCCGGTCTGGAGTGGGATGTGGCCAGCCCAGCGGTGGGGAGCAGCGGCCTGCAGGTGTCTGGGGACATGTGAGGAGACAGCACCTCACTCGTGGTGTGGGGACCGGAGACAGTGGCCACCCCCGTGTGCGGAGGGAAGGCTTGCAGAGCTGGCGAGATCCTGGGAACTGGTGACCGTGTGGCAGGGGCGCAGGCCCAGTGCCACAGCAGCGAGCATGGAGGACTTTCCCAGTGCCACTGATTGTGCTGCAGTGCTCATCCGTGTTCTCAGGGCCAGGTTGTGCACATGTCCTGTGTGTATTTGACATTGCAGACGCTACTCGGTGCGTATCAGTAGAGGACATCTGTGTCTCATCCCGGCACCATATTACAGCAGGCTTTTTATTTTTGCTATTTTCGGGTATGCTTTCTGTTATTTGGAAGTAACTTCAGATTTACAGAAAACTTGCAAAGATGGTACAAAGAATTCCCATTCCTCCTTTCCCAGACTTCCATGCTGTGAAACATTTGCTTTATCATTTCCTCCCGTTACATAAACATGTTTTTTGGACACACTTAACATTCCCTAAAACTTTACCCCTACATACTTGAGTGTGTATTCCTAAAAACTAAGTCATTCTTTCCTAACTGCAAAGCAATCATCAAATAGGAGAATTTACACTGGTGTAATGCAATTTTCTAGTCTACAGACCTTCTTCAGAACTTGCCAGTTGTCTCTTGATATTTATAACAAAAGAGAGCCCCTTCTCCCACGTGTTGATCCACTGTGTCTCTGCCTCCGAACCTAGGGCCCTTCGGCAGCTGTTCTGAGTCTCTGAACCCTGCAGCTATGTTGCCTGCAGCCAGTTGCTGGGCTGGTTCATGTGATGCCCACTCACGATTAGACGTGCCATGTAAGTTTTGTGGAAACACCACAGAGGCAGCTCTGTGCTTTGCTGGGGCATCATTTCTGGAGGCACTGACCATCTGTCTTATCTCATGACTGGCCATGTTAATTTTGAACATTGGTTAAGGCCTTCCTCATCCAATTTCTAAAACTGCAAAACTACTGTTCTCTCCTTGGTTAATTAACTTGCAAACACGATTTAAAACTACAGGAGCTGGGCATGGTGGTGCATGCCTATAATCCCAGGACTCAGGAGGATCGCTGTTGAGTTCAAGGCCAGCCTGGGGTATATAGCAAGGCCATGTCTTAAAAAAAAATAATACAGGAAACGTGCTGTTTCTCCTTGTACCTTCATCAGGTATTTTTGGCATCCATTGGTGATTCTTAAATGAATCACCTTTTTTTTAAACCTCATTGGTTACCAAATAGACATTTTCTATTTTTGACTTTCCTGCTCCATGGGTTTCCTGCTCCATGAGTTGGTTTCCACTGTGACAAAGGATTTCTCTCTTCCTCGTTCCTCTTCGAGGAATGTTATATTCGGTGGGCTTAGAGCACTGAAATGGACCTTCAAGCTGGCCCAGGTGTCCTCATGGAACACGCCATGGTCTGAGCATGCAGGCTGTCCTGACCAGCCCAGCCCGAGCCCTGGAAAGGTCTTATAGGAAGAGTGGTGCTCAGAACCATGACAGCACAGCCCTGAGGCCCTGGAACTTGAGCGCACCGTGTGTCCACACTCGCACTGCACACTCCCACGGACACACACCCATGCATCTGCCCGCTGTCCACCAGGTGCTTCAGCCCCAGCCCACACCAGAGCTCGCCAGGTCCTGCTGCTATCCACATCTTCACACACTTCCCCAAGGGGAAACCCCTCCCGTTGGCAGCAGTAAACTCCTGAGTCGCCTCGCCAGCCACGGTATCGTCCTGTAACAGTGTTTTGGTCAAAGTTGGGTTTTGCCACTCTTTTATGACAGCAAGAGAAACATTTCTAAGGACAAATCTATGTTTGTAAATATGAATGCAAGTGCCTATTTTTAACCTCCTTAACTTTGAGAATGAGACCTCCTGGTCTCAGATTCTTGCCTGGAAGTTTATTTACAACCCTACCAATTCTAGTTTTTCCTCTTTTATCTTTTTCACAAGGAACTGTGTGCACTTTGGTTTGGCTACACAACAAGTACTAATCACTACCAAGCATTTTTATTGAAAAGAAATACTTTTCACCACAAAACACAGAAAATCAACCAAAAGCAATTCATCTGGGAAAAGATTACTGCTCTGTGTATCTGGAAAGTCCAGTTTTCCCTGTGACTTTGGACACACTTGGTTCCCAGAGTTCCAATCAGGTCATCGGGGCTTCTGTGTTACCCTCATCAGAGCAAGAAGCCAGAGTAAAGCTCCAGATTTATGCCAACAGAATAAAACTCTATCGGTTAAGCAAAAGAACTGAAAATAGCTCTTGCTCATTCGTGAAACAGCTGTATAGCATGCTGTCGGCAGACCCAGTCACACACAGACTCCCTGGCCCCATACAGACCATGTGGAGTGGAAGTAAGTGGATCCACTTCACCACAGAAGAGGGGAGACGTTCAGTACCGCATCGTGCTCTGTAACCTGCCAACTTGACAGGGAGAGGAAAGTAGGAGTTCCTGTAAGGGGAAAAGTGAGGTGCTGCTGTATTACAGCACTTCAGCTGGAGGGAAATAACTAATATGCTACTCCACTAGGTGCTCCTCTATAAAGGAGAGGCTCACTTTTTTAAAAGGGCACTGAAAAATAACATTATTTACCTTCCCACTGGCACAGATAATATTTTGTTGTTGCCCTTCCTGATTTCTAACTAACCAGGGAGTATAAGGTAGGGTGAGGCTTCACAGAGGAAGAAAATTTGCAGCCCAAGTCGGCCGCCAGGGTTTCCCTGGGCCTCCCTGCAGCAGCGTGACCATGGGCGCTAGGACTCCGAATGGTTCACTTGGGCCCTCGTGGCAGCTCTTGGATCCCAACTTCCTCATTTGTCAAACAACCGATTCTTGTAGTTCTATGATTCTGACCTTCCAGCTCTCTGATTTTGCTTATCTTCTACATCTCTGTATTTATCTTTCATTTCATCCTAATGGGTATTTTTTTATGATATATGGGGCAGAGTTAGAGGATCTGGGGATAAAGAGAAGGAGAAATTTGAACGTGATTTCAAGTCTTTGCATCCAAGTTTTTGGGAAACTTGTTATGACACAGCAGAGCTAGGAATGTAGGGGAAAGTCATCTCCAGAGGATAGAAAGGAGGTTTGGGTTTTTGGATGTTACATTTGCAGTATATTGGTAGAACACCATTGGTTTTTTCACTGTGTTTAGTGCACTCTTCTGTCATCACACTGAGCTAGGTGTGTTGTAATTGGAGTCTATGTTGTTAACCCTCAGCCAAGTGCTCTCTGATGGTCGACCAGCAGGTTATATATTCTTCCCTAGTAAGCTACTACTCCTGCTTTCTGCAGTGATTGTTGCAATTCTTTATTTGTCTCCCTGAGGCCTTTGTGTTATCTCTGGCCCCTTCTCTACCAACTAAAATTGTCTAATAGTTGACTGAAAAAATAATAAGGACAGTTGCACTTGAATCTCTTCAGATTCTACCCTCTACTTTCAATACCATCAGACCTTTAGTCCAAGCTCTTCCTGCGTGCCTCAGTCAGAGAAGTATTCTTCCTCTTCAGTGCTAACCCTTCCATTTTCTGTATTTCATCTCTTCTTCACATACCCTGCTTCTTTGCTCTTCCAAGTGAGCCTCCCATCTTTCTCTTTCATTGACTGGAACATCCCTCTAATGCTGAACCCGTGGACCACATCTCAAGACAGCCATCAGCCCAGGCCCTACCCCCGTGTAGAGTCAGAAGGGGTGGGTGGCAGACAGCTGCTCTCAGCTCTTCCTGGCTCGCAGGCCACCTCCCCATTGTCCTCTCTGTCCCCACCACTGCTCTAGACCATGAACTATGGGCCCGAGGCAGTACAGCTCCTGAAGCCACACAGGTGACAGATGAGGCTTTTGCGACTGACCTCCCTGTAGGGGAGCCACCCATCGATTTTGCCCGAGCCAGGCTGTGAGCTGTGCAGGCTGGGAAGAGTTAACCCCTCAATTGGTTCATTCTAAGAAGTGAGTCTGACTGAAGCTTACGTGACTCATAGAAGCACCTCAGCACCGAGGTAGCATGCAGGTTACCATGACCTTCCCACTAAAGCCCACAGCAGAGACCAGAGAAATGGCCTGTGATGCTCTGGGGCTCAATAGGAGATATCATAGTAGCCGAGGTCAGAGTAACTTGCACCCAAATTCCATTCCCAGGACTAAAACCTTCTTTACTAGAAGGACAAGGTTCTAATCACAACCCTATATTTTGTCTGTTCTCATCCTAATTCGAGAATGCTTTATCTTGTCCTTTACGCACCTTGCCTGCATTAGTATCCATAGCACCTGCACAACTGCATGTCCTCACACATAGTTCCCTTTTACCCCAGTCTTGATTACCAATAAAAATTAGTGGCTTGGACTGACCAGGGCCATTGCTGGTTGCTCAGCACTGGCCATCCTGGCTCCCCACTGTCTTCTTTAATTCTGACTTTGAGTCTTTCTTCAACCCTACATTGTGCACTGGGCAGGAGACTGGGACCCACTGCACAGGACTCCAGTACCTCCCAGCCCATTTCCACTCCCATCAAAGTCCTTATCTGAAGGACACGGGTGACCCACCTACCAGCCAAATAGGAGAGCTTAACTCTGTGTTCATCAGACTGACCTCTGAAACATTTGATTGCTTGTTTTTTTATAAATGTCTGTCAATTTCTTTCATTTTTCTCACTTTAATAATGTTTCTTTACTTTTCCATATTGTCACTCCAGTGCTCCCTTGAACTGTTTATTTTAGGGTGTGTCGTCTCAGGACAGCAGCAAGGCTTAAATTATCACAGCAATGTGGTGTTATTGTCTTCTAATTTCTATAAAAGAGCCTGTTTAAGAGCTTGATTTGAAGAAGAAAAGGGAATTTGTTGCCCACATCTGACCCCCACTCTGCATTTTTTAAATTATTTTCCCTTGCTAATTGGATAGGGAAAAGTGAGACCTGTATATCAGGTATTACCCATACCACATGAATATAGTAAACTATAATTTTTTAAAATGTACATAGTTTAGAAGTTTATCTATAAAGGTTGCTAGTTTGAAACATTCTGGTTTCCTGGCATTACCTTTCCAAGTATATATCTTTCTATTTACAGAACAAATCATTAGTATCAAGCCGTGTGTACAACTGACATGAAAGCCAATATAACTTGAAGCTGTGATTGTCTAAATCTCTCTGTCTAAAATCTTCATTTTTTTCCTATAGAGCCAAGACAATGTGCAGTTACTCAGTTCTCTATCACTTATAAAGCTATGGATTCCTTCATCTTTTACTGTCCTTTGTGATACTTTTGAAGAGTGGATAAAGTCAGCCCTGTTCCATCCCATGAATCAAAACATGTTTTTGTCTTGTTCATGTTCCAGATACCGTACTCCTCCGCCTCGCCTGGGAATTATGTAGTAAGTACATTCGAGTTTGTTTGCTCATAAGAATTGATGCTACATTTTATGGAGCAATGAAGTAGCTGTCCAGATGTTGAGAACCCCCTGTGTACTGGCCGAGAAGTGCACATCTTGAGTTGTTTTATCTCCCAGCCTCCGTACATATGCTGATGTTCATGAGCAAAACCATTATCAATCTGTCCAGAATTGCCCAGAGTTCTGGGTTTCACTCCAGCATATGTTTCAGAAGCCAGCGCTGTGCTCTCTTTCCAATTGCAGGGAGAGCATCCCCAGTTAGGAGAGGACGCTTGGATTCACAGCTCTTCCAGAGTGCAATGTGTACCCTCCTGGGTACGTTAAGCCTCCTCCCGATCACAAAGCGAATCCAGTAATTTGGAAAGATCTTTTAGTTTGTCACCATTCTTAGAAATTGAGAACACCTATTTTTCTCATTATTGTTTAATACATGCAAAATTTTTCCAGTAATCTGTAGACCTGAAGTTAAATTAGAAGGCTGAATATAAACTCTTGAACTCATAAATGACCTTGTCACCCTCAGCACATTATGACCTTGTCACATCTCAAGGCCGCCATAAAGAGTAATGTGTCTTGATATTTGTGAGGAAATGCCTCACAGAAAAGCATGGATAAAACGTAACAAGGAAAATCTATCCTGAAGGAATTTTAGGGGGGTTACCTCAGTGGTAGAGCATTTGACTAGAGGAATTTTAGGAGGGTTAGCCAACTGGACTGGGGAGGAGAGTGCATGGGAAGAAATCCAATGAGAATTTCACCCCACGCAGCAGTGTGCTGTTAACACAGTAAGAAGCACACATTGTCTTAGGCATGTGGACTTAATGTTCAGTGTTCCCGAGCATATAAACACAGGAAGTCTAACTTTCTTCAGTTTATATAAAAGTAAGAAAATCTGGGTAAAACTTGCTGTTTTCTTAAACATGAAATTATAGATTTTTATTTGAAAAGTAATTGAAGGTATTTTTTAAATAGCAAATACTGTACATACATTATTTGAAATAATTGGTAGGTCATGTTTACATACTCACAATAAAGTGAAAATTTTGCCGCATAAGAGTTAATTTGATCACTACCCATAGGGCATCTGAAAAATTCTGAGATGCATTGCCTGAGTGCCCACTGTGGGCTGCTGAGCGACTTCACAGTTCCCTAAGCTCTGGCTCCGACTGGTTGTGAACAGAAACTAAGGCAACCTCTCTCAGCAGCCTGTGGGGGCCAAATGTGCAGTGACCCCAGGAAGTGGCAGCAGTGTATCTTTATAAACTGTGAATCTCCAAATTCATATCTTTTGGGTTTTAAATATCTTTTTGGTTTCCTATGAGAACCAGTGATACAAAATGTAAGGAAATTGCAGTAAACTAAACACAAGTACACATTAATTATTTCTATTTTATGGGTTCATAAAGACTCCATTAAGTCGTTTCTCCTTAACCTCCTTACACCTGGTGTGATGAAGTTATGAGTAATACATTGATGTTTCAGGCTCATTGTTTTTGGAAACTTGTCAAAACAGACTCAACATGTTAAGATAAATTATGTCATGCATAATGTTGATTGCGCCTTAAAAGAAAATAAATTACAGAGAAAAGAGTTCCTTTATTTTTAAAAATTAAATGATTGTAGAGATGAGTCTAACTTCTATTCTGGTTTTCCTTACACTGTTTAATGAAATGCTGTATTCACCCTGACATCTGTGATTATTCAGGGTCCCCCCGGAGGCGGAGGCCCCCCAGGAACCCCCATCATGCCCAGCCCAGCAGGTACCGTAATCACACTGGCTACATGCACACTTGATCGGGGGAATAAGACCATGGATTGCAGACATCATTTTGAAATAAAGTTCGTAATGTTCATGATCTTGCAAGGGTTAGAGAAGTTGGGGAGAGACCGCAGCTAGGAAGGAGGAGAGTCCTTAAGAAACTATTTTCTAGTTACTTAGTCCTTTAGAAAATTGCCATTGTGCAGGTAACAGATTTAGTCAGTATGAATACTGTGTTGATTTATGTGAATTGCCCAATAATTTATCCAACTTAAAGATTCCTTGAAACTATGAAAAAGATCCAGATCTCACAGCCTAGCCAGTTTTTACATAAGTAAAACATTAAATGCACAGATCTATTTCAAATGGCCAGTCGGCCCCAGCACACCTGTCACCTAGGATGGGCATAGATGAGCTCACAGTAGCCCACCCACGCATCCACAGGAGTTTACTGAGTCACTAATAGATCCACTATGTAGTAGGAAGAGGTTCTTAAATCTTCTAAAGTATACTTAGTATACCCGTAATATTTCACATAATTATTTCCAATAATTTTATTCTTCTTGAGACTTTGATACAGACTATGACATGTGTTCAGAGATGGATGATGGCAGTGGCTGTCACCCTAGGAAGTGCCTCGGGTGACACAGACCCGGAGAGGCTCCTGCTGTGTGACTCCTGCAGCCCTAGTGCTAAAAGTGGTCAGAGATTCGGTCCCAGACTTGTGTACAGGGTGCTCATGCATTACACTCAGTAGTGAGACAGACTCAACCTTCAGTCCTAATTCAATTTTAGTGAAATTATTAATTTTTATGATATGTGATGTAATATAATTTAAATCCCATCAAAATTATTAGCAAAGAATTTTCAATGACATAGAAAAATAAATGCTCATGACTCGATATGTCACAATTGTGTTAGTATCCATATATGTCTGTATAGCAGAAATCTAAGAAGCATAAAAAGAAATATGCAAAAACTATCAATGATGACTTCTAATTAATGAAATAGATGGCAAACTTTTGTAAATAGATTTTTAGTTATGTTTTGCTGCTAAGTTCAAAACTAACTGGTTTGTTGAAATCTAAGGTATATGGATGTTTGAAATGTAAAATCAGTAATCATACCAGTAAAAATAACTTTTAAGTTTTGAACTTTTTATTTTCAAAAAATTTGATAGGGGCGGAGGTTTAGCTCAGTGGCTCCAGCACCTACCTGACAAGCACAAGTTCCTGAGTTTGATCTCTGGTTCCACACACACACACACACACACACACAAATTGATAATTACTTCACTCGCTCATTGCCCTATATTTATAAATATTTTATGGTCTCTATCCTAAGGGCATCTAGCTTCATTAGAAATGAAACAGAAATCACTTGAAGGTAGAATTATATGATGCCTACATTTACATTCTTACTGGGAAGTTCGTGTTGAATTTATGAAAGTAGCATGTGATTAATAAACACTTCACTACAGGAGTAAAGGCTGTTTGGACAGCCCTGGACATTGCAGGGCATAGGTGATCTTATCACTTCCTCCTTTCAGGTCAGAAATTGCCACCAATATATCTTTCTAGCATTTTGCATACTTTTTATACATGCATCCTTTATTAGACTTAATCCACTAATATTAAGCCAACACCCCCAGCTCCCAAAATAGGTGCAGAGCATCTGCTTTATTACAGAGCTCTTCTGTACATAAGAAAGAATCCAGACATTTCCTAGAAAATACCATCCTTTTTCCTATTACTGTTTTTTTTCTTTTGCAGATGAAATTATATTTTCCATTGGTTTTAAAAATGACAAATTTATCAAAGTTTTTCATACTTAAAGTACATAGCCCATTTTCCCTTTCACAATCAGTAAGACTATTTGCTACAGTTAAAAACCAATTTAAAGATTTCATGTGTTTGAAAATCTGTCCAAGATTCTCCAAAAGATAACTTTCCTTGTAGAGAATTTACCCCATTAGTTAAAAATAAGGTTGCAGAGAGTCACTGTCCAAGGTCAAAGATTGGTGAGACAGAGCCCTTTCCTTCTCTCAGTGAGTTAGGGTGGCCAAGCTGGATGGCGAAGGCAAATCCAACAAAGACAATCCTAACCCTAATGCAAGGTGGGCTCCATTTGTGGGGAGCCCCACGCACCCTGAAATGTCAGGACACAGAGCTATGGAAGAGGTGACATTTGAAAGGGGCCTTAAGGGCGAGAATCAGGCAGGTGGGCACCAGGGAGAAGAGGCTTGGAGGGAGAGGGCGAAGCACTGCGCGGGGGAAGCTGGTCCCAGGCAGGAAAGCACAGAGGCTGGCACCCAGGGCGGAGAAGGGCAGGACAGCAGCCGGGCCTCGCTGAGCTCCAGCCGTGTATCAGGACCGCTGGCACTCAGCTAAAGATGAAACCAGTCCTGAGGGTGACAGGTCACAGCCAGTGCATGACGCGCCACTGACGGCAGGGGCTGTGGGTGCAGGAAAGTTGCAAGCTCACTGCCGTGCCCTGAGGGTCGCACAGGAGCAGCGGTGACCCAGTGGTCTCATTCCCACCCAGGCTGCTGCCGGGAGAAGAGAGCGAGTCGTGCTTAACTTAGGTCCCACATCAGTGCGGAGCACACCTTCTCAAACACCCCTCCTTCCAAAACTACAGCTCCACCACATTTTGTGTAAGAAAAGTGTGTGACTGTAGGAAGACGAGCTGTATTTCAGAATTGATATTTCCTCGGTGTCACACAATTAGCGTTTCACTCCAAGTTTCACAGCGTAAGAACACATACTCAGAGACTTAACCAGAATTAAACACTAAACATGAAATGTAAATTTCAGAAATACTAAAAAATGTCACATATATTTACATGGGTATATTGCTAATTTTATTATAATGAATCAAGAATAAACTGAGTAAAAAATTATCAAACTTCATTTGGTGAAGGAATCTGGCTTTTATTTCCATTCCAGTTGGACTTGTTCTCATTTCCTTCTTTTGGAATTAAGCCAAGGTATTCTACCATAGCTTTTTTTTAAAAGCCTATTTTTAAAATTTCTGTACATGAAACCTAAAGAAATAGTGAAAACTGAAAAGCTACTGAATCTGGATTTTAAGAGCTTTTAGTCATATTTATGTGTCATTGCTTCCAGAAGTCAGGAAAATCGTGGTTTTTTTAAATTTACTGTAATGTAAATTTTTTTCAAGCAGTGTTGCTTAGTTCCAAGTCATTGAAGTGAGTGTTTCTCTTATACACCTGATTTATGACCTCACAGTGATAATTTGGGGGTTGGAAAACAACTGTCGTGTTGTTTCCAAACATCAGCAGTGACTGCCTCAGATGCTACTGCTAACCATATCTGTGTGCACCCAGATTCCCTTCAGCTGTTATTCTGAGATGACTTGGCCATAAATTATAAATAAAGATATTAACAAAGTAATATTTCGTTTCAGATTCAACCAACTCTGGAGACAACATGTATACTTTAATGAATGCAGTGCCTCCCGGACCTAACAGACCTAATGTAAATACGCTTTTCAAAATCCATGTGAAAACTTTCAATCTCTAAGTGCATTCCTCTTCCTGGATGTAGAGTAAACATTGTATTTTATTATCCAGGAATTTATTGGAGATCAGAAAAATTCTTTACATGCTCTGGGCTGAAAACAAACATACAGCATGTATATATATATACATATATATGTATGATTTTATGTCAATATAATTTAAATATGAAATTCGGCCTAATCAGTTACAAAATGTTGGTCTTTTATTCTGTTTCAATGCTTAATCATTAATACAATTTTTAAATGAAAAGTTACATATAATCATTATAATCATGAAAAGTTATATATAATCATTTTTTTCACCAGGTTTTTAGCATATCTATTTTCTTCATTGTGAGTTTTTTAATGGTGTTAAACTTGAAAATAGATTGCTGGATATGCTTGGGTTTTTTGAGATTACAAAATCTAGAGTTTAAATATGGAACTGAGGTAGTTCTACAGGAAGAATTTGCATGTTTGTTATAAGGCATATGGTTGTAATTTTTTTCCACAAAGGCTCATTGGAAAATAGTCATTTACAATTTAAGGGCTATGTGTTAACAGAAATACTTATGATGGATTACAGTTATTAAATAATCTAAATACAACTATAATATAGTTATAAAGCAATGTCAATAAACAATATAGCTATAAATATGTGTGTAACATTATACCTCACATATGCATATGTATACAAGATAGCTGAAACTGAAGAAAAATGGGAAGATATATATGCTATGTGTTAAACTAACCAAATATATATATACCTAGAGTCTGAGAATCTTCTAAAATACCCTGGAGCCAGACAGAAGGCTCAACCTGTGTAAATTCACTGGCTGTTGGGCTACAGCTCCAGTTTGTCAGCTTCCACCTAAACTATACTTTCTGATAAGAGCTGAATAACAACAGAGTTCAAAGTCATCCTCTTTGAGGTGGCAGTGAAAGGTACATATTCCAAGTAGTTCACTAAAATCAATATATATACTTTTTTTCCAGTACCAGGGATCAAACTCAGGACCTTGCGCTTGCGAGGCAGGCATGGCGCCACTAAGCTAAATCTCCAGCCCGCCATACGCTTTTAGATACTCAGTTTTAGGCAGTATAATTCTCGTTCCTCTGGGAAAATGTAGAAGCACATAAACAGCGTGTACGCCCAAGATGGCAGAAGGTCACCATGTCTCCACACACACGTGGTACTGCACAGGGTTGTCTGCTGAGGGCTGTGTTCACCCAAAGCTTTTATGATTGGTAACCACACTATCTGCACACACATGCACACACATGTACATACACAATGCACATACACACACACACACAGAGTACACCATATTCAGCATTTTGCACCATGCATCACAGAAGGAGTCCTCTTATGTACAAGAACCTTTAAGAGAAAATGTTTTCAGTAAGTTGCCTCATCCTGAATGTGTGATGACTATAGATAGCTTGTCTTCACACTGGGCTCCAGGTTTCCTCAGAAGTGTCCTAGGGAAGTGATGAGAAGCCAGAGTGAGCAGGCCATGGGCTTCCCATCTCCACCTCTATCGTGGCCCATCTGTTCACAGCTGTTCCATACCAGGCTCCCTTCATAAGATTTCACTTGAAAAGAAAAGAGAATTCCACTACTTCACAAAATGTTACATAAAACTGTGTAAACTGATTGTCATTGTCATTGAGCTGACAGTCGGGACTGCCAAGGTGAATTAGCTCTATTCAGCTATCTGTAAGGAGCTACATGTGTTTAACCTGTGTGATGAAATGACTGATTGGGCCCATTTGAACAAAGGGGGAGTGTATGCTAAGAAAAATGTTCGTGTTGGCATAATGACGTTAAATTATTCTTCTTAGTAAGCCAGTAATTTTAGCAGCTTCTAAGAACTAGATAGAAAAATTGCCAGTGTCGTAGGAGAGAATGCTCACCTTCTGGTTTGCATGGGAATGTATGCTTTCCGGTTAGGGGTCTCTAAACAAGAAAAATTCAGACCTAACTGAGGTTTAACTTGAGTATCCAGGACATCGAGAAGATGAGAGAAGTGGTGGGCGGACCAATTAGAGAACGCACAGGGTGAAAAAATGAAAATGAGTTGTGATCGTGTCTTGTAATGTCCGAGATAGATACTCCAACACTGAGATAAAATTGTTTTCCATGTGATCACCATTGTTTTCTTCATTTTTAAAATAGTTTCCAATGGGCCCTGGGTCGGATGGTCCCATGGGTGGATTAGGAGGAATGGAGTCACATCACATGAACGGCTCTCTAGGTAAGGATTTTGAACCTGATGGATAGACTAAATTAGAAACAAAACCTTACTCTCATGGTGGATGTTAGGGTCTGCACAGTTCTCCTATCTCCAGCTATGGCAGCTCTGCCCCAGCGTGGTATTTCAGCACACTGTGGTAGGCATGGTCTCTAGACATCTCTGGAGAACTGCCCTCAGCCATAGCCACAGTCTCTACCAACCCTGTCCCAGGCTAAGTGTCCTGGTCAGAGGAGGCCCTGCCCCTGGGATTGTGTCACTCTCGCTTCCCCCGGAGGACTGCAGTGTCCTCCCAGCTGGCTTCTCTGTCTCCAGCGGTCTGGGGACACAGTCTGGGAGGGAGGGATTTCAGTTCTCCACAGAAGTCCCTCTGCTTTGGCCCTCATGTTCCAGATAACCTGAGCCATTCCCTGTGAGACGAGCTGCTCACATCATCCTGATGATAAAGCTGTGTGTGACTGGGGTGAAAACCCGCCTCATACACGATGCCTTCTAACAAAGGAAGCCCCACACCCGCAGAGTGAACGATAGGCTCTGCAGTAGTGACAAATGCAGATGAGGGGCACGAAACTGACTAGGTTGCCATGCGCAGGACAGCGGTGCCTAGACTCACGAAGCTCATCTCCACGATTCTGGAAAAGATGACCACATTTGTGTTGGTGCAGGAAAGGTGGCTGCCATCGTGCTTGTCACCCGATGCAGAGTTTGCAAAGAAAAACAAAATTTGCCAAATCCTGTTTGCAAACCAAATTATTTGCAAACCGGTTGGTTAACCAAGGTACCACTGAATATCTTTAGGCAGAACAAATGCAAAATTAAATGAAAAAGTTCTCTTGTTTGTCCATGTTTAAGTGACACGGTTGAAACTAATTTAAAAGTTGACAGTGTGGACAGAGGGCTGTGATAATTTCCCCCCCTTTGGGAAAGGGTCTTTCACTTAAATTGAACAAACTATTCTTATGAACAATTTCAGTTACATACAGATTTCACTCCCCATGCAAGGCCGGGAAATGCTTCCACCTGATATTTTGAAAATCTGTATAACTTCTGTAATCCAGAAATGATTTGCAAACTATTGGCAGCACAGTGAGAGACATTTTTGCTTTCAAGGAGCCGTCCTTAGTTTGCTTAAATTTCCAAGTCTTGTTGTGCTGTTGCTGACCTGAACCAGCTGCAGCAGGTGAAGTTGAAATGTAAGGCCCGCTCCTTCCGCTGTGAGGCCGCAGAACAGGCTGACAGCCACCACGGCCGGCCCCACTGAGATGGTTTCCACCCTCACACGGCTCTGGGATGTGTTTACCGTTTATTTCACAACAGTTCACTGTCCAATTTTTTCATTTGTGAAGTCACAAAAAGAGGATGTCTTGACATAGTCAGAATGCTATTCGTTTATTCACCAGAATAGTTTCAAAAGAGTTTCGCACATGCTTGGCGCCTGGCTCATGTGAGCATCATTGCACATATTTACACATACACATGACTGCACATGCAGTCAGATTAATCATGTTAACCACTAACTTTATTTGTGATGTTGGTTAAATGCTGTCCTGTTAAAATATAATTTTTGCAAGGAAAACCATTAAAAATAAAAGTTTAAAATAAAATTAATATTGTTCCAAAGATCTGATTATTGTTTGTTACTTAATGTATGGATCAATTTCTTATGAGAAAAAATTAATATTAATTGTTCATTTTTCCCAAATTTTTTTAGTTTTTAATGTGAATATTTATTGCTGTCAATTTGTAATGTTCTTAACAATACTTTGCTTTTGTTATTATAGTAAAACATGGCTCCTAATAGTGTCAAATATCGCTACAAATGTAAATTTTTTAATTTATAATTTCTGAAAATAGGCGTGGAGATCTTTATATAAATTCCATACACATTTTAAATTTTAGTTGAATAGGGTGCATAATGGATCTCTGATATTTCACTTTCATGACTGTGGTAGCAATGGGTAGGCAGAATTCCTTTCATTTCCCATTAGATGTGGCTAATTCTCTTTACAGGAGTAATTTCTAAATGTTACCTTACCTAATAAAAGTCTTTCTTCTTATGTTTTTTTTTAGGCTCAGGAGATATGGACAGTATTTCCAAGGTGAGTCTTATGTGTTCTCTGTTTTATTTTTTATCTGTGTCTTCTTCTACATGAAACTGTTATCAAGATTATTAGAATGAGTGTGTAACTTTATGAATGTTCTTCTAGTACAGGAGATTGAAAGAATTCCAGTCATGATTAATTGGCTGTTAGAAATGTTAATGTCCATGATCTTCGGGAAGGGGGACTCTTTTAAGAATGTCCCTAAGCCTGCTATGATTCATATATTGGATATACTGTACATGATTAATGATTACTTCACACCCAAGTAATAACCAGTCTAGTCACATTGTGATATTACATACTTGTAAATTAAACTGACAGAGTTTAGATGATCTTTTGAAAATTTAAAGATGTCTGAAGCAAGTGGGAAGAAGTAAAGTTGAGAAAGTGGTTCTATAGGTTACAAGGGCATTGGATTTATATATTCATTTGGTCTTAAAAAAACCTTTATTGGACGATGTTGATATATGTAATCATTATTCTTGTTCCCAAAATAGAGTAAGAAAGTAATTAGAAGAAAATTATCTTAGTATAAACAGGAAAGTGTATGTGTCTGCATTTTTCTTCCTTCAATAATTTGAGTATCTAGAATGAATCTTTTGCTAAAATGCTGTATTTTTTTGGAAGAAATTTTTTAGGTCACAATGAATTTAAAATAGCTAAGAGCCAAATATATTTAGAATGCTTGATAAGAACTAATGATTAACTAGCACTAGAATGACTTTCTTAGAAGTTTGCTTTGTGTCAGTAAACAGGGAAGTTCATTATGGGGTGACTTTGCTTTTAATTCTATTTCTAATTTACAGTCATATATAATAAGGTGAAATTCCTGTTGCCAAGGAAAATAAAGTAAGATTCACTGAGCTACAAAACATTTTAAATTAAGACTTCAGCCTGAAAAAACAAGTTTTAAAGTTCAGTCCTGACATGTAACCTGCACCTGGCTGCCTGGCTCCCAGGTTCTGTAGGTGCCTTGGTGTCTGTTGTAGGAACAACTGGAAAGGTCTTTTCTCCCCAAAAATACCGAGATTTTTTAATGGGTAGTGGCCATCTCTGAGAAAGGGTAGGCACGAAGACCGTGTTCGGAGTGGATTCCTAACACAGCGGGGTCGCCCACGCTCCCTCAGGTCGTTCTCCTGAACTTTCCCTCGGAACCCAGACCAGTAGACAGCTGCAGACGGAAAGCTGCGTGCAAGTACTTGCTGATTTGCAAAGCACTGTACAGTTTCTAAGCGGAGCCATACCGGTGAATGAAAGGGCACCGTTTGATCGGCCTGCACGTCGACCTATCGCTGTTTCCAGGCCTCCTCCTGGGCACAGGGCTCAGGGCTGTGCCAGGCCCTGCTGCGAACCCGCGCCCGGTGAGCCCGGGTGAAAGCCATCCCTGGTCCCTCTCGGCCTCCGCGCCTGTGCGCCTGGGAGGCACGGGGCTCTGGGTGCGAGCGCGCTGTCCCGCGTTCACGCTCAGGCCGGGGTGCCCAGGCGGTGTGCTGGGCTCTGAGGGTCAGATGAGGGGACAGACCTGGTGTCTGCCCGCGAGGTTCAGCGTCCTGAGCGGCCAGAGAGGTTGTACGATGCCCAGGGCCCTCGCACAGCGAGGGCGCGCGGCTCCTCGGGCACTGGGGCGTCGCCTCCCGTCCCGTGCGGCCCGGCCGCCCTCCTCTGCGCTGCCCGGCCCGGCCCTGGCCCAGCTGTGCCCGGGGCGCTGTGTCTTAGCAGCAGCGCCTCGAGCCCCTTCTCCCCTTGTCTTCCAGCGCAGCCTCACTTTCCAGCCTCTTACCGACCGGAACACGGCCCGCTCGCTCTTCCCGGCTGCCTTTCCCATCCCGAGCTCAGCTGCCACTCTGAACATTCCTCTTCACTTTTTCCCTGGTCTCCTTCATTTCTGCCCCATTCTTTTCCTAGTCATTATTGTTTGTATCTCAAGATAACCTGGCCATCACCGCTCAGTAATTTTGTTCAAAATCCCGCTCAGGTCTCTAGCTGCTACATCTTTCTAATTCCCCAACTAAATCTGCATTTTATCAAGCACCAATATTGCATATTTCTAAAATTATTCCTCCCCCTCCACAGTTTCTTTGGGGGGCAGTACTAGGGCTGGAACGCAGGGGCCTTCACCCATGAGCTACATCCCCAGACCTTTTCATTTTATCTTGAGACAGCAGCTCATAAGTTGCCCGGGCTGCCCTTCAATTTACAAACCGTCCTCCCTCAGCCTCCTGAGTAGCTGGGAGGTTTGTGCCGCTATGCTTGGCCCTGCCCCTTTAAACACTGCTTCAGTGCTGCTTCGATTCTTCCTCCCCCTTTCTTGCTGTGTATGTTCCACTTATGTGTAAGATAGATAAGGACTCAACTGAGGATCACAGGTGCTGTTTGACTCTCTCCTGGGCTTAGTCTCTCAGCTGTGATGCAGAGCTGTAGGTCCCTGCCTCCTTCCTACAGTTGCTAAGGACGGGGTGAGCATGCGCCAGGGCTGTGAGGTGCCCCACACTCCGGCAGTCTTCCCTCCATGCGGGGCCTACAGCACCGCGAGGGGTGCACAGCGCGTCACCTGCGGTCCAACCGACTGTGCTGGGTCAGGGCCGAGCTGACCCCAAACTGCCGCCATGAGGACTGCCAAGCTGCTTCCTGGTTGAATGAGGCCTGAAGCGCCTTTCACTCCTTCTGCAGCTAAAACGTCCTCATTTCATCAATGAATGCAGAATATTTTCTCTTGCAGTTATTGCAGGAAATAGGATAGGAGAGCAGCAGGTGGTTTGTTTTTGAGAAGGAAAGCACCTACCAGAAGTTAGCTCACATTAAGCTCTGTCATGTTGATGTTTTTGAGTTTGAAACAAACTCCTCTGGGAAGGCAAGATTCGGTGCGATTGTAGCACGTTTAGTAAGATTGAGTCTTTCGAACCTGGAGCTTTCTGACTGGGAACCTCGTTCCCTGAGGACCTCACGAGGGAGCACAGGGCAGCCGTGGCCTGCACGCCCTCCGGTGTGGCGGCTGAGACCCCGCTCAGCCCAGCTGTGCCCAGACGGTGGCCGGCAGCAGAGTCCAGAACACACCCTGCAAAGCTCAGCCCGAGGCCTGGGAAACTCAGTCCCCAGTGGGGAGAGAGCTCCTGGGTTGATGTTTCTCTATTCTAACATAGCAGAGCCAGGTTGCTACTCACTTTCTTAACTTGAAATTTTGAAACTTTGAAACTTAAAGGTCTGGGACACTTTTTGAGACTAGGGGAAGAGACAACCTACTAATTAAGAGAGGCTATAAAGGGAGGCTTAAAGATAAAATTAAGAGACCTCAGAGCCCACAGCGTCTGAGAGGGAACATGGCCTCCTCAGACAGTGTGTGAGCCTCACTGCTTCTGTGACGTCACGACTGCTTGTTCAGACATGACCTCGCAGCTCGGGGGAAAGCTTCCCAGCCTGCAGACGGGGCAAGGACAACGGAGTAGAATCCCTTGAGGATGGCATCCGTAAAGCTTAACTGTATTTTAAACTAAGTTACTATTAGAGTACAGAGTAAGGCACTTATCCACTGAAATAAGAAATAGAGTTCACGTGCGTAGGGTAGCTAAAGCAACCCCGTCGATTCTTTTGGGATCCTTTTCCGCGCATGTGCTAAGCAGCTGCCCTGACTCGGTCCCGCCCGCCCGGATGGCCTGCACGCAACTCAGGGCCGCGCCCCGCCCCCTGCACTGGTGGTCTCCGAACCTCACCCTCGCTGCGTCCTCAGCAGGCCACACAGTGACCTCGGACAGGGCAGCGTCCCAAGACTCCTCATGTGAGGAACCGTTTGCATTCACAATATTTTGCAGGGGATACTTCAATTAAAAAAACAAACCAATCCAAAACATTTGTCCTTACCACTTCCAGCTTTTCCAGTGAGGGCCAAAGAACTGGACAGGAGCAGCTTCAGAGACCGCCCTTTCTTATTCTGTGTTGTGCCCTTTTCCACTCCCTCGGAACACCCTGTGTACCATCCCTCCCTTCCTCCCCCGCCCACAGCAGAGCAGAAGGCTGGGCCCCATGCTAGGAAGAGATCTCTTGGAAAACAGAATTAATAACAATACTGGAAGGACTCAGAAGCATTGCAGTATTGAAAATTCAATATCACTTTCAAATTCTAAGTAATTTTATGTCAGCGCTTTGAGTCAAGAACCAGATTCAAAGTTAGCTGAACTTTCCAAACTATGAGTGAAGAAATGACGCATGGCAGGTCAAGGAGAGACGTAAAGCAGCCAGCAGAGCAGACGCAGCGCCTCGGGCGCCTGGTGAAGGGTGATGGCACAGGAATGGAGAGCGTGCGTGTCCTGCAGATTGGACAGCGTGGCAGCGTCCCACTTCTGAGTGCGTTCTTAGATCTTCATACCTTCTGGTTAGATTATTGTTATCTCAATGTTACCATCTTCTCCATTCAATACAAAGGACAGAAGTCTGTCTTTACTAAAAAGACTTATAGGTGTTGGATCAGTCTTACAGCATTTTTATAAGACAAGTTTCCTTTTTGAGCTAAGTCAGCTTCATGATTCCTGTTTTCAAAACAATTTATTATTTAATCCCTTGAATAATGAATTCTAAAATAGTGGGTTTAGTTAAATTTGACTTAAATGCTCAAGTAAATAAGTTAAGCGATGCTGATTTCAAAGCACAGCTGCTTTTCTGTGTACTTGGGTAACTGTTAGGGAAAGAGACGAACAGAGCGAGCTCCTGGTGCTTCGAGGGGGCTCCGTGCTGGATTGTTGGCATGGACGCCTGCCGCTCCCGAGGCTCTGTTTTCAGATCCGCTCCCAGGTGCCCAGCGGGGCAGAGTCCTTCGTCCCCAGCAGCTCATCTGCCTCAGCTTCACGTCCTCCTGGGGAGAACTGTCAGGAAATGTCAGTGTTTATGACACACCTTTTATACTTAAATCGAAATCCTCCAGCACTTTTCTTTCAGAGAAATCTAAAAACTTAAAGGAATCTAAAAACTTAAAAGGAACCAATGGCTTTCTTTTAAAATAAATAAAAAGGCTTGATCCTGAAGTGGTTTTTTTCACCAGCCAAACGGGAAGAATTCCCCCGACACAGGTGTGGCACTGCAGAGACCACCGCGTGCCAGTGCGCCCCCCCCCCCAGGTTCTGGCTTCTGTCCCTGTCCTGGCCTGCTGCTCCGCGGAAGTGACACCTGACACCGGAGCGTTTAGATGGATTGGGAAGCAGCGCCTGCCAACGCTGTGTTTGGTGAGGCTGCCCCTAGCAGCCACTTTATCTGACAGGAAAGTTTCAAAGTGAATCTACTTTTAAACTAAGGACGGGAGAAGGCTCTAACGCAGCTGGTTCTTAGCCCCCTTTTCCTGTAGAAGCACGCATGGAATTCTCAGGTCCCGAGGCGTCTTTCTCGTTCTTAACCACGTTCGCTATCGTCCTGTCCTCCTTAGGGTTCATATCCGAAAGACAGTTGAACTAGTACGATCTGTAAGCTGCACAGAGAGTAAAGGGCGATGTCTGTGAAAGCGGCGACCCTTCCAAGTTTGATTAGCAGGATTACCGGGGAGCTCCGGCCCTCCTGGCTGCCGTGTGCCTGCAGCCCTCATCGGAGCCTGGCTGGGGGCATTTTAAACTCTCCGGAGCCCTAGAAACTGCAAGCTGAGGGTGGGAAACTGGATAAATATGATTCTGAAACTAGGAAAATGGCCGTGGAGGTGACTCGGGGAGTTGTCCTGTGTGCTTGTGCCTTGATTTTCACCAGGTGCGAGAAGCGAGGAGCGTGTGCGCTCACCGAGCTCAGCGTCGTGCGCTGCTGCGCTGCGCGAGCGTCAGCGGCCCAGGTGCGGCTTCTGAAGCAGAGTCCTCACCATTGCTTTGTTTCCAAATCTCGTTCACAGAATTCGCCCAATAACATGAGCCTGAGCAATCAGCCAGGCACTCCGAGGGATGACGGCGAGATGGGAGGCAATTTCCTAAACCCTTTCCAGAGCGAGAGTGTAAGTGTCTCCTCCGCGGCCTTATTGTCTCTGCGCCTTCTTTCCCAAGACCTTCTGTTCAGTAAATGCGTAAAGCCATCGTAACCGCTGCTCACCTAGGGCTCAGAAGGGTGCTCGTTTAAAAGTTTAAACATGCTTCAAGCAGAATTTCTTTGCGAAACATTTAAAAGTAAAGTTTTGCTTGTGCATTCCTGGGCTCACATCGCAGAAACGGTAATAACAGCTGCTTCCCAGAGAGCTTCCGGTAAAGCGCCCACCAGAAAGGGCTGCCTGTTGCTAGCAGGCCTGCTCTCAGCGCCCTCAGGCTGCCGAGGTCCTCTCTGGGTTGCCATCTCTCTTTCAGCACCCGACCGCTCTGGCCTCCGGCAGTGCTGTGGTCGCTGTGGCCCAGATGCTGCCCGCGCCGTTTCTCAGTGCCATGAAAGCGCCAAGCGGGCAAGCAGCGGCTTTCCCCAACCTCCGGAGAAGTGGGCAGGGCCAGAAGTGAGGCGGGAAAATTCACTCACACCTCGCGCCCTGGCAGTGCGGGTGCAGGACAGACCAAGACACAAGGAGTCCCGCACAGGGCAGTGACTTTGAAACTGTTGTTCACACTAGAAACGCCCGTGGGATTTTAGGAATACCTGTTCCCAAGCACATGCGCGCTGTTTCTTTCACTTGGTCGCAGCCTGCAGCCTCTGAGGGACAAGACATTTTCTCCCTTTACATTTTATCTGTTAACATCAGGAAAAACTGTTGAACTTTAGTTTGTTTTATTTCCAAGGTGTGTATAATTAGTGAGGCAAAGAAGATACATATCCATATAAAAAACCAAAAGCTCAGCTGTCATTGATGAGGAAATAGGAAAAATACGAGAAACGACATAGTTTAATAATTCTTGCAATATAGGAGTTGATGTTTCCGGATCCTGGTTCTTTCATGGGTTTACTGCAAGACTGGACGAATTAGTCATTTTCCTATGTCTACTTTATCTAATGAGAGACATTTATTTCCATTTTTGTGATTCTTCCAGCAATGAGGTAGTATAATATCCAGTGAGATACAGAATAAATCAATCCAATTTAGCATTTACTGAGCCTACTGTAGGCAAAGCACTAGGTTAAGGACAAGGTTTTTGAGATAAACATAGCACATGCCTGCCCCGAAAGTATGCAGCCCGCTAAGAAAGACAGGCGCTCACATAACTAACAAAAACCCCTCTTAGAATGGTAATGCTGTACTGTATCATACACAACAGCAGAGAAAGGAAATCAGCCTAAGGGTTCCCCAGCCGATGTGTGGTAAAGAAAATGTACACGTACATGCACACATCCACAATGAAATATTATTCAGCCATAAAAAAGAATGAAACCCTATTACTGCAGTGTGGATCCAACTGGAAGACACTGTGTTAAGTGAAACGAGATGCCACAGAAAGACAAGCACGCCCTGGCCTCGCTCACAGGTGGAAGCTGAGAGTAGAATGCCGACCACCAGAGCCAGAAGATGGGGCTGGCAGGCTGCTCAGTGGGTACTGGGCCAGTGCGGCACACAGCAGGGCCACTCTAGAGAATGGTGCTGCGCTGTGCACCGCAAACACAAAACCAGGAAGGATTCTGAGTGCTTTCACCGCAAAGAGATGGCTGTGTCTGAGGAGAAAGGTGTGTTGGACACACACTGTGTGTCCAGGTGTGGAAAGATCACATAGCTCTCCATGAATAAGTAGATTCTGTGTCGATTATAAACGTAGAATAAAAATTTAAAACATAAAAGCAATAGATACAAGCCACGTATTTTAAAAGTAAACATATTGAAGAGGGGCTTAAGAAACCTGTTTGAAGCAGGTTCCACGTGACTAACTTTAGGAGCAGGGACAAGAGGGACCTCGCCTTGGGTCACCGTTGGGCCGGGCTGTGGATTGGAGGAGCACTCAGTGGACTCGAGGACTCAAGGATCAACTCCTACAGAGCCGACACCAGCCCCCCACGTCAGTCCCAGCCGGCCTGTGCCTGTGGACCCCAGACCCTCCTGCGCGTGTGAGCATTAGCAAAGAGCAGGGCTCCCCCGCCTGGTCAGGCCGTCAGTGGAGGAATCAGACAGCAAAGCCGGCCTGCCCCTCCTTCCTCCCTGTCTCCTGCCCCAGCAGCGCAGTCACAGAAGGAAAAACGCCGGGGGCTGTGGAGAGCCGAGCCCGCCCCCGCACTCGCAGGAGCTGACCCTCGGTGAACGGTCACTGCTACCGGGGGTCTGGGTCACGCGGGCGGCCACACGTTTCTACTTAGGCCTCCTTAGTGAGCGGAGAAAGGAGAGGAGATGCAGGCGCACAGGCGGAAGGCTTTGCGGAGCTAAGCCAGAGATCACCTGTAATCATCATCGGCCAGGAAATGCAGAACTATTTAATGCACTCAGAAGGGAAACTTTCTAATGAAAAGGCAAATGCTGGTGTCTTGGGTGCCTGTTACAGTGGCCCGAAAGGCACGCGTCCTGAGCAGTCTGCCTTGGTACTGTGGCCCGCCCTTCACCTGAACCAAACCAGAAGCACCCAGGAAGGAGCCTGCATCTGCGGATGGCACACGTGCAGCTTCCTTTGGCAATAGGGAAACGAACACCCAGCCCCAGGTCAGGACCCCGCATGCCCAGCACAATGCACGGCGCAGGATGGGGCTCCAGAGAGGGCCCACGGGCAGCCTTCCCAGACAGGTTCCCAAACAAGGCCTTTCACTCCGAAAAAAACCAAAGACGCCCCCTAGTGTCCAAACTCCATAATAGGTTTTTGAAAGCACAGAGTACAAAATGACTAAATTTAAAAAACAGATCTTCATGCTTTTCCAGGGAAGAATTGATCTAATTTCCTGAATTACTTTAGAGAAATATTTCCTTATGTCATTGATAATCAGCTGAGTACAAATAATGCTAAAGTCTTAGTATCAGACAGGAATGGGAAACAGTGGTACAGGGTCTCTTACTGCCTTTTCCCCTTGATTTCTGCTGTTGTCCAGATTTTGGTGTAGTCACGTAAACATATTTTACTCTGTCTCAGAGAAGCAGAACTGTTCCTCATTCCCATTAAGAAAATAAAATGCAGAAGCTGAGACATAGAAATGTGGTAAAAACTAAGGGGTTCTTGAAGAGCATAAACAGGAATTTATAGCATTGTCCAGGGATCTAGTGCATACGACCTCTGTGCAGTGTACTGTGCACAAACCGGATGTAACAAGGGGAGAACACACACACCGGGGCAGGCAGTCTCAAAATGCATTTCACATGGACCTGCTCCCCATGACGCATATGATCAGTCTGTACTGCAAACAAACGTGTACTAATAAAAGTTAAAAGTAAAAGGTATTCCATCTAAAAGGTAAAATAAGTTGACCTGCATCTAAAATAACATCTTTAGCATTTACTGTCTTCACTAAACCAAACAGCAAAGCTGCTGAAAGTGCTGTGAGAGTCTTCTCCTCTGGGTGGTTGGGAAACAGGCAAGCTGCTGTGAGGAACTAGCCCAGGTTAAAAATGTTAATGGCTGGTAGTGTTAAGGGGTAATAGCAACCAATAAAAACAAACTATATGCAAATATATATGTTTGCATATATGTATCTTTTAACAAAGTATATTAGAATGAAAACAATTATATATATTTAACATTATTCCCTCATGCTTCCTGATCTCTATGAGTACACTGGAATAATACTTAGGAAGAAAACATTCACGCGCTTTTAAAACCTCAGTTCTTCATTCTATACAGTAAGTGAACTTTCACACTGGAAATAACTATGACTTACCCAGAAAGGGTTTTAAACATTTCTTTTGAGGTCCTTTCTGAAATGCTTTAGATAATCTTGCTGTTTCAATTTATTGACACAGTATATGCAATAAAATCTTTGTTCAGAAATAATGATTGATGATCTAGCTGTGCCGCTTAAATTTAAATTGATTAAGATTAAGCACCATGAATCTCAGTTCCTGACCTCCACTGCAGCACCTCGAGAGCCCTGTGGCCACCAGGGCTGGTGCTGTCCCACGCACGTCTTGGTGCTCATGGAGAGCCGGCTGGCTGCCACTCACTGAGTCACGGTTCTTACTGTAAATAATAGCACTGTAGAACGCATACGTTAAATTTCTCTCTGCATGTCTTCCCATATCTTCTGATTTTTCCTACTTTTTTACAATTTTAAACTTTGTATGAGTGCATGTTTGCAGTGCGTGATGATTGCATTCGTGGGGATCTGGTACACACATGCAATATCCATTTATTTTCTTGTTGCTTCTTCTTGCCCCTGAGAGGGAAATACCACAGGCTGTGGGTGGTTTGTGCTGTGACTGCACGGTGCCTGGGAGGAAGTGGGGGGATTCCCCTCCATCCAGCAAGGTGCAGGAGCCCACTCAGCAGCCCCTGTCTGCAGTTGTTGGAGGGGTGCTTTGCTTTGTTCTTTGGCCACTGTGGCCAGAAAGGAGGAGATGTTTGTCCTTAGACTGACCCTCCTTGCACTTCTTAAGCAACCCCCCCCCCAGGAGGACTGAACCCAGGGCCTTTGCACTGAGCTTCATCTCTAGCACTTTTATTATTATTATAGTTATTTTGAAACAGGGACTCGCTAAGTTGCCCAGGCTGGCCTCCAACTTGCAGTCCTCCTTAGCCTCCCAGAGTGCTGGGATTCTGGTTCAGTCTCCACTGTTTACACCCTGTGATCACTGTCATCCAGCAGAGGAGTCAGTCCAGCTACACGCTCAGCTTTCTTGTCCTGGAACAAAACCGTCAGCTATGAGGGGATCACTGCGTCCATCTTCCTCACTTCAGGCTGGGTCTGAAGGACAGACAGTTCCCTGTGGCCCCATGGTCCACCTCTGCCCAGGGGCGGCACATTCTGGGGTGACCTGGGGCTTGAAGGTCACCTCTGTGCTGCCCCAGGGACCTTCCACTCACGGAGACACGTCCTGACCTCAGCGCTGGCCTGGCCTCTCCCGGTCGGCAGCCCCTGTCCACTGATGGTGTGCAGTGTCCAGCTGTCCTGCACGTGCTCCCTCCCCAGAAAGGTCCCTGTGTGAGCTAAGCCTCGAGCCATCTCAGACCACCTGGAGTGCATCCTCTCTATCTGAGGGCCGCAGTCGTCAGTGGCTTGGTCAAAGGCATCGCCTTGCACTCTGGTCGCCATGGGTCCCAATAAAGCATTTCCAGTCGAATTTTAGCCCAGAACCCATTTTATCTGGAGCGCTGGCCTCTGGGGCTAGCCGCCTCTCCACCCAGCTCATAGCTCTGGAACTCTGCCGTCTGAAATAGCGGCCGCTTTCACAAAAGAAAAGGACCGAGAGACCAAGGGAGTGGAGGGGCAGGGGCTGAAACAGGAGGGTTGTGCTGTGGGCCTGCACCGCCCCACAGCGGTGTGAGCTCCACGCGCTACACATGCATTCATGCACACTTCCAGCATCAGTAACACATGGAGGAAGTGGTGGCCACTAGCTGTGTGTGGATATTTAAATGTAAGTAATTAAATCAAATCATGTTAACAATTTAGTTCCTCAGCTGCATGGGACCTGTCTGTCGCCCCAGGAAGTTCTGTGGGGAAGCGCTGCCACAGGCTGATGCCAACAGCATGAGCCAGATCAGCAGTTAGCAACGTGACTGCTCCGCCCGCCTTTCTAACCAGGTTTTGAGACCACCTTTTCCAGTTTCTGAAAGCCTGGTGACACTTGTCGGCCTCATGGAGCTGACAGCTAAGCTTGTCCTTCCCCTTACCCAAATGACCGAGACTTTTGTGGTCAGGAAGGGGGGAAGCAAACCTTCGGTATTTTCAGCATCTAAAGGGACATCTCGGGCAGCTGGGCATCGGTTTTGTTTGGATTCTCTCCATGTTCACTCCATTTATCGAGCACTTTGTATGGATCCAGGAGATACAGAGTTTTCAGTGTTTAATGATTAATTCTGCCAAAACTCCTGGGTACTATTATGAACCCATTTTCTTTGTTTAAAATGTTGGTTTTTAGCAGCCCGCCTTTGCAGTGCTTAGTGGTTTCGTTCGTCGTGGGGAGTTGGTGCATGCACAAAGCACATCTTCATTCTTTTCTTTAAATTAATTTCATGGGTACATTGTAGGTGTACAGTATAATGACATTCATCATTGGAAATTTGCACCTTTACATAGTCTCTCTTGGTTCTTATTTTTTCCCCTTCCCCCTGCCCTCCCTTCAACCCCTCCATTCCTCCCTATTTACAAAGGCTTTGTTTCCATTTTTTCATTTTCTCATATTAATCCCATTCCCTTCTTTCCTTTCCCCTGCCCCTCCCACTTCCTTCCCCTTTGCCCCTTTTCTTCCTATTTTACATTACCTATTATACCTTTTAGTCCTTATTTACACTTTCAGTTTCTCACACCAGAGAAACTATTCAGTATTTACATGTGTGTCCTATTTATTTCACTTCAGAGTTTTGCCTCAATGTGCATCCATTTAGTTATAACTGTCTCTAATTCCTCATGCTTTATGACTGAGTAGCACTCAGTTTTTTTAAATAAAATTTTCTTTATCCAGTCTCCAGTTGATGGGCACTTGGGCTGTATGCAAGTTTTACCTATCACAAACTGTGCCGCTATGAACATGGGCGCACATATAGTGCTGTGGTATGATTCTTTGAATTCTTTGGGGAAGATCCCCAGCAGAGCACACCTTCATTCTAAAACTTCACCATCTGTGTTGTGTCAGGAGGAACCTTCGTGGTCTGTAAGAGAACTACTGCTAAAATCCGGATTCCTCTTTCCCCAGTACTCTCCGAGCATGACGATGAGTGTGTGATGTGTCCCGCTCCCTCCCAGACCCAGGAGTCGCTCTCTGCCTCCTCCAGAACCTTCCCGTCACAGTGTACAGTGAACAGATCCAGTCGCACCAAGCCAACCCGTTTACTTCCTGCTCTCTCCCCTTTTTTGTGAAGAAAGCGGGTCCAAATGCGATTCAAACAACTGTACGGAGCGGCACAGTAGAATTGCCCGAGACCGAACTGCGAATAACTCTGTGTATGTATATGTGTGGGCAGAGGATGTATGGTATATGCGGTGTCATGCGGACATATACACATACATGCACCAACCCACGGGACATTGTAAAATATGACATGACATCTTACGTAGAAATAAGTAGGGACTTTTATTCCATTCTCTTTTTTTCACGTTTACATTTTAATTATTAAAAGTTGCTCCTGCCCCCTCCTTGAACTATTTTGTGCTGTGTATATCACTGCTTTATATAAGTTATTTTTTAAGGTGAACTCAGATGTTATGGTTTTGTAAATGTCTGCAATCATGGATAGGAATAAAATCGCTTCTTTGAGAGCTTTCATTACATTGTGTCTGATGCAAGTTATCCTGTGAGCCCCTCCATGTGCTGTGTCAAGACTTGGGAGAAAGTGTGTCTTCGTGCTTGGGTCACCACCGACTGGGAAAGGTATTGTTGTACTTTTTCTTTGAGGAAAGAAAACACTTCACAGAAGCGTCACTAGGGCTGCACACAGCACATTCCTGCAACAACTGCTTTAATGGAGTTCCTGATTGTTTGTCTTAGATGATGTGGAAATCATCAGTTAGCTCCAGTGACCCAGTCCACAGCTATAAAGTGACAGCTGTCATATTTTTAACAACGTGTTTTCTCTTTAACACAATAAAGCCCAGAAGTGATAACAAAACCATGGGCTTGAATCTGTGGCTCTTTTCCAGGCCTACTCGAGGTAGATGTTTAATGACTCGCCGGTGTGATACAGTATCTGACTTTGATTCAGGCTTCCTGTGAACAAAGGCCTGCAGCCGCGCACAGACACGTCGGAAGGAAGGCGCCTGTCAGCACAAGTGGAGAAAGAGTTTGGGGACCTCCAAGGGCTGCTAGAATCCTGCTGCTTCTACCCCAGGACTCTGCTAGCCATAGAGACCCTGCCCCTTCCGTGTCCCTCCACCAGAGCAGCAAGGGCCTGCTTGTATTCTAAAGCAAATACCACTAGTAACTTAGCTTCTTCCAGCCATGGAGTTCAGTGACATTGCGTGACTGACAATTCAGAAAGAGTGAAGAAATACTAAAAATAAAATTAAATTAATCCCTCAACAAAGCACCTTGCTCTGTACTTTCCAGGTCTCTGGGTTGTTATGTACAACAACACCGTGATAGTAGAGGGTGGGATATCCTAATCAAGACTCTGAAAGGTAACGTGAGGCTCTGTGTTCCAGTCATGACAGAACAACCACTGCTACACAGCTCTGTAGCCAACACCAGAGGCCGCAGAGCCTGCTGCAGCCTCACAGGGAGGAGCCCTCTCTCCCTGGGGCTCCCGGCCTCCGAAGTGGAAATTCGGCAATCTATTTGCCTGTTTATTCCCATGTGGCTTATCTCTCTTGAATCCATAATAATTTATTCCTCCTTAAAAATAAAGATTTCACTGTACATGTCAGGGATCCCAGACAGAGCTGTTGAGGGGAAAAGAATCAGGGTCAAATTTATGCTGCAGATTAAAACTGTGAGGAGATTGCAGTTAGTGGCTCATGGTGTCAGGCTCCAGAGACCTGTCTCGGACTCTTCAAAGGACAAGGTCTTCACCTCCAGCCAAGTAACTCCAGGTGGCACTGTTCAGACACCTGACTTACCAAGACCAGCAGTGACAGCTGCACAAAAACAGGCAGCCCTTTGATTGTGTGGAATCGCATAGTACTACAATTTTTAGACATTTTGTTGACTCGTCTCCATTGTTACTGATCTTGAATTTCTTTTATTTGCCTTCTGAGAAGATATTGTTTACTATCACAAAGAATCATGGACTTGATTTTTCTTGCTCTTATTTTGGAGGTAAACCTAGAATATGGATGGTATTATGGGCCCCGTTATTTCTAGCCTGTTTGGTCAAAAAGGTAAAATTTGTTTGTCTTTAAGATGTAGCAATCAATTCACCATAAGTATTTATTTCTTTTTTCCTTCTTGGAACCCAGATTTAAAATAATTATTTCAGATTTTTAAAATTTTCCTGAAATAGTTGAAAATTTATTTTTGAGGAGAAAATTATATTCAAGAAAACTGAAATATGAAAATGCTTACTTTTTATATCCAAATAATTTTCTCATGTACTGAGTATCTGCATTAATTTTTGTTCAGGTTTTGGATCATTTAACTTCATTTTTTCTTATGATAAAAACATTTAACATTTCTTTTATGTTTTCCATCGCTATAAATGTATTTGCGTTGGTCTCGATATGTGATGCCAGTTCCTAGGGTTTTTATGTACCTCGCCCACAGTGATAATATCAGCAGTTCTTGCCTACACTGAACTTGAAATACACACGTAAAACGTAGGTGAAAACATGAGCTCTTTTCACTCTGCTTATTGCAGCGAAACGCGCGTCCTCCTTCCCCAGCTGCGCTGACCTCACCGGCAACAGGGCTGTCCCTGGGCACGGGGCAGAGCGCACTGCTGACCGGGGGTGCCACAGTCTGGGGGCACCAGTGTCCCTGTAAGAATGCGGAAGCTTGGACTCCGCTGCCGAGGAATAGGAATTCTACAGTCAGGCATCCATCCGAGGTTAAGATTTCTCTACTGCCCAAAGACTCAGAAATCCATTCTGTTCCCTCAGCCATGGAAAGTGCCCGACATCCCTTTTCCTCCAGGAATGAAATGGGGAAACCCTTCCACTTCTGTGGTCGTGATTCTCTAAGATACCTGAACTCCGTCGCACTTCCTAGGGTCATTCGGTTAACCCGATTGCTTGAGTTTAAAAGACAGCAGGTGAAAGCCACAAAGCCCCCTCTGGGCCTGAGGAAGCCCCACCTGGGGCGCCTTTTCTCCCGCCCTTGGCGCTCAGAGCGGGTCCCTCGCCAGGGGGCGCTGCCGCCGCCCTTAATCCCATCCAGCAGCCCGGCTGGGCTCCTGCTGGGCTCCTTCCGGCCTTCTCCGTGGGTCCGGCCTCTCCCTTCTCCCTTCTCCAGCGGAAATGAGGTACAGACTGCACACTCACCTTCCCAGCCCTGGATGCTTCTCATCTCCCTGAAGTGCACAGTAATCGTAGTAGTCTTCCCAGGGGAAGTCATTACAGTTTTTGCTCCGTGATTATCACTGCTGATTCTAAGCAGTACCACAAATCATGGCTACTTGACTTTGGCACGCATAATAGCATTTGACACTGGTTTTTCCACTATGTACTATAATTCTTTTTCCTTGGAAACACTATTTGATACAAATAGGCCATAAATAGGTAATGTAAGAAGACGAAGTCCAATATGGGGGGAGTTGTCATGTATTTTTCAGAATTAGTCATTGTCTTTTATTTTTGTTTCTTATTTGCCATGAGGCACAGGAGTCTGTGTTTGCTTAAAGCAGTGATACCAAGGTCTTAAGCATTTGTAAGGATCTCCTTTGGTCTGTGAACTCTACCTTGAGAAATACTGTACAAGAGTGGTGAACCCGTTAATTACACTTCCGTTTTACATACTAAATGTGTGTGCGCTTGTGTGCTTGTGTTGGGGGTGGTAGCCACAAGTTTGCACACCAAACACTCTTACCCACTATGATCCCCACTATTCTATAGCTCCACTCATATATGTATATTAAGCGTAATTATTACGCTTTGGCTACTCCTCATCTCCGCGGTAAAAGAGCGGGTAGGAGAGCTGGACTGGAAAGAAGGCAGCCCTCTCAGAGCGATGGAGCCCCAGCCCAGGACTCACACCTGCGGGCCTTCTGAGGAGGGCGCCAGGTCTAAAGACAGGGGCTCAAGGAACCACTTCGTCCTTAGTCATCTCACTCATCTTGCCAGGCGCTGTGCAGCAATTCCAGTTTTTTGATGTACGCATTTGTTTATAAGAAATAAATTGGCATTATTCATTTATTTCACCAAAAGCTCTGACTTTACCCATGAACCATAACTCAGATTGAAAGGGATGACCTCCAAATGGAAAATATACCTGGGACCTCTTTCATTACTTTTCTAAACTGTATTTTAAAAAGAAACCCTCAGCTGAATAAGTCTCCCGAGCAGAATTCCCTGTTTGGTTGCCCGTTAGTTAGTGTCATCGGTTTTCCTCAATAGAAGAATAACTTCTGTAAGAAGTTTAAATGTGAATATTTTTGCTGTCTGTGTCTTTAATAATGAAATATAGTGCTATATATAGATATTATAAATGTTAAAGAGGGACACGGTGTTTTCATGGATGCAGTAAGTCTGTCTCTTCCCCTTTGCACATTCACTGGTTATTATCAGGATAAATGTTAGGTTCGTGCTGATTACCCTGGTCATTGAGCAGTACAACCTGTTCCTCAGACACTTAGCATTTCACTTTTAAGATGAGATATGCTGTTACCGTGACACAGATGAGTATGAATAGTCTCAGAAAACTGACATGAAAGATTTCTTCCCAGTTTGATCCCGCGTCCACTTTTGCATCAGGTGGCCTCATTCTTCTCAGAACACAACACGTTGTCAACCAAGTTTCCATCACGTCTTGGTAAAACTGTTCAGTTCAACAGAGTTAGCCGTCTGTTAATTCAAACAGTCTATCCAGTTTACAGGATTTGACAACAAACCTACTTTCAATTTTGCAGTACCTTTAAACTTCTCTTCATATGAATGACTGATCGGAATGTGTGTTTGGCTTTCTATTGGGTTGTATTTCAAAATGCTTTACTTTCCTTCCATTAAGACAAAGCTTACAAACAATATGTTAGGATGAAAAATTTAAGGAACATGCCACTCTTTCAAACATAAAAAATGGAGAAGTCTTTCTAAATAGAATTCTTTACTCATGATAGCCATATGCTTATTGAACTGTTTAATTTATCTAATTGTGATTTTAAGATGTTAAGATGTTTTCTTATTACATGTGTTAAATTGTTACCCATAATGTCTTCCTGGGAAAATTATTTGTAAGATTTTTATAAATGCACAATTTATGTATGAATATAATGGAATCTGGGGTGACTCAGTAATCTGCTATTCTTAATTCAATAGTGGTCACCAGCTATCTGACATGCTTTGTAAATTTGCCATCTGTGTGTGCACATATATGTGTATGCTCACATGCACATTACTGCATTTATCCTCACATGGATTTATCACTTAATGTTTTTGTAAAAGTACCTGAGCTACTCATGTAATGGGAAAGTTGCCATAAAGATGTACATACGCCCCTTAGTTTGGCAGATGTCTTCACATTTTATTTACAAATATATAGCTTTTCATTTGCAGTTTCTACCCTTTCATTTCTAGCCTCTATTTTGATACTTATTGGAAAAGTAAAGGAAATAATTTGTATGAAGCTAGCATCAATGTTTTCTGAATAACAAGTCAAAACACAGCTAATGTGGATATCTGTGCAGATAGAGTTGGACGTTATGCCTTATATAAAAACCCAGGATTTTATAATATCAGTATTTATATGCATTCAAGAAAAAGTCATGATATTTGACTGGCTGTGTGGTCAGATATACTTTGAAAGTCAAAAAAATTAATATTCTTAGCAAATAGATATCTGTTAATAGATAAAGTTTTAGTATTTTATTCCAAGTAGAACTACACGTCATACAGAAATCTGAAGTAATTACATAGATAATTCCTGCAAGATATTTTTCCTCAATTTCTTATCTTTCTGGTGAACTGTACAGATGTTTGCCTCAGTTTACCATAAACATTTGCCCAAATAAATTCTGAAGTAGATGCTGTGTACTGTTACACAGATGAATATGAGTATGGGGGGATCTATAATTGGAGTAAGATCCATCTTTAGATAGCAATGGAAATGCGTGCTTCATTTTTCAGCAAGTTGCTGAATACTGGTTCCACATCAGTAGTGTGGCCTTGAGTCTCCTGGCCCAGTGGGGGCACATTTGGGCACAGCGATCACAAAGGAAAGTGTTAGAGCCCACCAGCTTGCCCATCTGACCTAAGGTCAGACAGTCCCCAAGTAGCCTGGACCCCAAGGGCAGGTGCCAAGCCGGTGGTGCTGCTTCCTTGGCTTGGAAACAAGTGAAAGTCATGGAACCAAGCATTTTTCTGAAAGTTGTTGCTTCCACTATTTCTACTTGTGCAAAAGTGATGATTCGTGGTAGAAGCATTATGCAGATTCAGGGCAGGAATTGCTCGATGAGTAAAAGCCATCAGAGTCTGTTTAACTCCCTGCAGCTCCCTGTGCTGAATGAGCTAACAAACGAACAATCCAGACCTACCTGAAGGAGCCACGTGTCAGCCCCACAGCAGGTGTGCCCGGTACCCAAGGGTGCGTCCTCAGGCTTCGGGCACCCTGAAACAGTAAAGAATCCTTTATGTCAAAAGAGGATAAAATTAAAAACTACAGGTATTGTTCCCTACTCAACAACGTGATGAGAGTGTGGTGTGGCTTTTTAGAAAACGCGACAGCCAGAGGCAGTGCAGCTGAGGTGCTCAGTTTTCTCCCTGCTGGCAGAGCTCCCCCGGATCTGACTGCTGTGCTTTGCTGGCCAGGGCTGCATCTCCCCGCAAGCAGCAACTGCAGATTCCCCACAACACCGTGTCCACACCCGACCCTCCGAAAGTTTCTGCTGGCAAAGGGAATGGAACTCTCACTGCCTATTCACTGATAGTACATAAGAAAAATTTATTTCTAAGTGAGCTTTCAGTAAGAGATCAGTAATATATACTGTGTAAATTAATATTGATTACATAAAGGAATTCAGCATTGCTTGTATATTGTTTTAAAGAGAGAAATGGCTTATGAATTGAAAAATCAAAGTATTCTTTATACAGTCTTGTATTCCAGTGCTTGCTGTTGCCATCCAATTAGCCGTCATTCACTGAAGGGATATCACATCTCATGGTCTCAAACGTGTTTTATACAACATACATGTTGATCATTGAAAGTGATGCTAACTTTAATTTCAGAACTCTGCATGCTACTACCACGGTGATAATCAGCTACTAGCCACATTTTCCCATATTTGTTTCACATTTATTTGAGAGGTACCCACCTAGGCACATTTGTTTTTGATCAAATAAAAAATTCAAGAGTTCAACTTAAATCCACTGAAAAGATAATCCAACTACCACTTTTTAAAAATATAAGACTTATATGAGTGTGTTAAATGAAAATAGAAGCACTAGTAATTGGAAGAGATCTATCCCACCATAAAAGCCCTCAGATTAATGCCCAAATCAAACCTAAAATGCTAAGTAAAAGAGTTTTTGATAAGAAATTTGCTGAACCAAATAAGCAACTAAATGGAAACCAGAATAGGAGCCACAAGAAATGCGCATGAAAAGTAGATTGGGAAATCCACAGCCAAGATCCCTAAGATAATTAGCACCACAAAGTCAGACCATCAGCACATGCTAAGTATTGGTCATCTGTGTTTAAAATTTCATTTGTTTAGCAAAAATACCATTTAAAATAGAACAGTGATTTCAGGCTTTTCTCAAAAATTGTAGTCTTGTTGAAAAATACTTCAGGCAAAATTCTATGTCCAGTAAAGCTTAGTGTAGAATGTGAAACATCCGGGTTCCCACCTCTGTAGAGCCTACAGGCCATGCGCATTTCCCAAACGGCCCTCCTAAATCACTCTAGGGGCAGTGAAGCAGGGTGAAGGAAAGGTGGCCACTGTGTGGTGACCTTCGCTTTCCGGATGTTTGGAACCATGTGTGGCCCCGTGTTTACTGCTGTATTTTCATGTTCTAGACAGGTTTACATAACGTTTCTTTGCTGGAGAAGTTACTGCACCATGCATTTGCAAACAAGAATAGGAAATGTTTTCCCTTCCAGTCACTAGAAATACTTCACTGTTCTGCTGTTAGTGGGCACTTTAGAACATATGAAATGCAAATTGCAAAAGTGTATGTTCCGCCAAACTTTCATGTGCATTGGAAATTTGTTTAAAATAAATAAAAATCTTGCTGGTTTATTTGGCAGTGTTGAGTCTTGTCAAGTTTACTGTGACCTGAGATCTTAACACAAGGCCATAAAAATTGATATTCAGTTTGCCTTATGTGTGAATTAAATCCAGGAAGTGAATAAGCTTATCCAACTGAAGAGAAGTTTTGAAGCAGACATGTGATTAAATCAGAACTCTTCATGTGAGTGGCAAAAATTGATGTTCTTACCCCAATGAGTAGAAAAATCGGCATTTACTAAGATTAATGATTAATCACTAAACAGCCACACAGACTTCTAGTTCAGAAGTTAAATGCATACCAGTGAATTCTTAGCCTATTTTAGGGGATTCCTTCTTCCTAAAGATAAAATTTATACTCTAGACTTTATATTGTAGATTCCTTCACAGGAATCTCCATTCTGCTTGCCAGAAATAAGCTACAGGATTTCAACTTTTTTTTCAGTTGAAAACAAACAGCAACAGTTAAAACCCTGCAGATGCTTTTCTGTAAGAGAAACCTATTCACAAAGATAAGATTGGAAAAGTAGGGAGTTCATCAGAACTGCAGAAAATAAAGTAAGTTTAGCTTTGGAGACAGTATATACGTGCAGTGATTATTGATGTAGTTCAGCTTTCAAGATCTTTACAGTAAATACTTTCTTGTTTTACAAATTAATGTTAACATTTTCCCATTTGGGTTGAAAGATGATTAACTTAAATATTCACAATGTGCTGAGAGTTTAGTTACTTGCTACAGATTTTCATTCTCAGTGATTGTGTTAAAGGAGTATATTAAATTTTTTCAGGCTTAATTATGAGACAAATCAGTCAGCAATGTGAAGGACCTGGTTTCTGTGGATGTTCGTACGAGGAACCGTTTGCATGGAGAAATGGACCTGTGTGATTTGGAATGTAAACACAGCATTATAAAATTAGTTTCCCATTAGAATGTCATCACTCTCCTAAGAGTAATAGCCCCGGCGCTGAGATGCAAAAGAGCCTGTGCAAAGTCTCCTTTGACCTTGACAGTCCGGAAAGGAGATCAGAGAGAAGGCTGTTCTGGAGGGCCAGGGAGAGCCACTTACCTGCAGGGCCACCTCCTCTGGGCACCCTTGAGAGAGCTCTAGCTGCTCACCCACCTGAGCCCAGAATGCCCTTTCCCACCTCGACAGCTCTGACAGCCCATAGCACAGCAAGGCCTCTGATTTCTCTTTGTTTGTTTGGAAACAGGGTCTCACTATATAGTTCAGGGTGGCCTTGAACTCACTATGTAGCCCAGGCTGGCCTCAAACTTACAGTGATCCTCCTGCCTCAACCTCCCAAGTGCTAGGGTGACTGGCATGCACCACCACACCATACTTTTTTTTTTCAGTGCTGGGGACAGAACCCAGGCACATGCTAGGCAAATGCTATACCATTGAGCTATATCTCCAGCACCTCAAACCCACATTTAAAGCAAAAGAGATTGAAAGAATGTGGGGTACTGGGTGGAAATTTCAGCAAAGGAACAACAAAGCCCTTTTTCTTTCCACAATGAGCATGACATAGGAAAGGCTTGCAGTGAGTAGTGAAGAAATTAGTTGTTATGCATCATGCATTATCTTGACTAGCTGATCTCTAAAGATCGGTACGAAATTTACATACTTTGTGAGTGCAAATTCCCTCTCTCTGTCTCCTTCTTCATCTCCCTCTCTCTTCTCTCTCCTCGCAGAGTCTTGTTGTGTCTAGGACCCGCTCTTAGGCTTGCAGGTGAAGTTTTGTTTAGGATCATTGAGGCATTCATAGCTTCATAAGTAGCTGTAAGCTTGCAAGGATTCATGTGCTTCTCGAAATATACCTTTATTCTTAGGGAGGAATTCAGGCACTGGCAGGCACAGAGTCTGATCTCTTTTTGGAAGATTACTAAGACCAATAAAAAAAAGCCCCACCCCAGTGAAAAGATAGTTAACTGCAAGGCAAGCAATACCGACCTTAAAGCTGTGGCCAGTGCTAGTGGCTTCTCCCAATTACTGTCATCTTCCCTGTATGGATTATTACGCCTGATAAAAAGAATTTCTCAGTGGTGCTGGCGCCTGCCTCGCAAGCACAAGGTCCCGAGTTCAATCCCCGGTACCAAAAAAAAAAAAAAAAAAAAAGAATTTCGTTTCTGGAGTGGACAATCTTTCAAGATGTTGGCCTCAGGGCCAGCCATCACCCCTGTCTCTGCCCCAGGACCATTTTGTGCTCAAGCCCACACACACCTGCTCTTCCCAGCCTGTCCTCACAGCACCCTGCCACATCCCTGCAGTCCCGCTGTAACGGTGTTGGTAAACACTCAGAGCTCACCAGACAGCAGGTGCCCTCTCCAGTGGGTGCAGCACACCTTAGCATAGTGATGGCAAACCTATGTCATGCAGAGCCCTCTCTGTCAGCATGCAAACCAAGCCGAGCATCAGAGCAGCACCCACAGAGGCCATGCACATGCTCGGAAAGGAGTGGCAGCGCCAGGTGATGACGTCACGAGCTGCGACTCATTAGGCACAGCTCGAGCTCCTCGGAGCTTTCAAGTGGCGGTCAGTGTGCTGCCAAGGACATACATGTATTTGCTTGGACTGGTTGTGAGTTTTAATGCGTTCATTTTTGTTAACACAAGATTTTAGCTTTGAGTTTTCTTATGAAAAATTGAAATTTAATATCTAAGACTTATCAAAGATGTTTCAATCTAGAGATTGAGATTCTTTAATGTTGTGCTGCCCCCTCCCCCCCCCGGCATATTTGAATCTGCAGCACTATAGCTAGTTGTTTGTGAAGAATTTATAAACAAGAGCAAAGATTTATATATTTGCTTGGACTAGCTCTGATTTTAGCAGAAGGCCCTACAAGGTAGGAAGCACACTCAGATGTCTTTTTCAGAGCAGACCAAAAGGTGGTGGTCAGTGGAACACTGCCCCCTTGTGCTGGTGGTCAGCAAATTCAAGAGGAACCGCCCCTGAGAATCACGGCCATACGTTATTGATTCAGGAAATATCCAATTCTTTAGTGTTAACTACTGGTGTTAGCTATTTTTAGTATAGGGATAGATTTGTATTGGGTGCTTCATTTTTTTATTTTGTATTTTTGTAGACTCCAAGTCTTGAGCACCAAAAAATGACTACAATACAAAAGGCAAAATTGAAAACAGATAGTGGAGATCATTCCAAGAAGCTAGACAGTCATTTGGAGTGACGCTATGCAATAAGAAAGTGTTGTGTGTCACACATCAAGTGTCAGATGGCACTTTGACACCAAACACAAAGTGTTTCAGAACTTGGTGAAATGAAAAGGAAAGAGTTTCTTGAGGGGAAATTAAGGAAATGTCATTTCTAGTATCTTAGTTTTTGTAACTTCTTTCTAAAACAAATCATCTGACAGCTGCCAGCTTTCAGATTTCACTTTGCATAGCAAAACATGGTAAGCCTCTCTCTGGTGGGGACTTTGTCAAAATGGCCATGTTGTCTGGGAGTAATTCCTTTTTCATGTTTTCCCAAACGAGAGTAAAATTATACATCGCATCTCTGGGATACCACTTAACAGAAATACTGTTACAGATTGAGTCCTGTGCATGGCAAGTGATGCTCATCAGCATCTCACCACTGACTTACAAAAGGCAACCTGGTACTCCCTGTGCTTGGATGAAAGCACAGACATAAATAATCATGCAAGGCTAGCAGTAATTTTTCAGTGTGCTGCTGGTGACATCATGAGAGAAGAGCGGTGAAACTGGTAGCACTGCCTGGAAGAAGACAAGGGATGGACATCTACAGTGCTGTGATGGAGGCCTTTTTGTCACAGACATAAAACCAGAAACAGTGATTTCAGTTACTAGTGACAGAGCACCATGAATGGTGGAGGCAACATCTAGTTCATACAGTGCTTTGCTAAAGAAGCAAAACATCCAGTCATTCAGTTCTATTGTGTTGTGTATCAAGAAGCTCTTTGTCCCAGGGAAAACGCAAAACTTACACGGTATCCTCAAAGATGTCACACAAATGAATTACATTATGGCTCATGCTCTTAATTTTCAACAATTTCAAGCACTTCTTGATGAGGTTCAAGTACAGTATAATGCTTTACTTAGAAATTTAGAAAATTCACAACATTTGCAGACAATCCTACATGCCATCAGGAAATCTTCAAGGAATTTTCTAGTATCGTGGCAGCTGCGAAGGATAATTTTAGAAACAGATGTTTAAGTTCCTTAAGATGGGGACAACCCTGTGTTTTCTTACTTCTCTAGATAAAGCCAAATTTGAAGACCTTGATATTTTCTGCTTACACTGGTTAGATTTTGGAAATCTGGAAATGGAGCTATTGGAATTTCAAGAACGCTGTATCTGGAAAAATGAACTCTATGACCTGCGTGCAACACTTGAGAAGACAGAGTGTGAAGGGGGACAGAGGACGGCACAGTCGGTAGTTCTGAAAATGAAATCCT